GAGAAATATAATCAATCAAAAGCAATGGAAACAACTGATAACTTTCAGGGTTAACTAATATAGAGGCTTGTTAAATCGGAAATGGCATGTTCGAACTCAGTCATTTTCGAAAAATACAAAAATAAGCTATAATTTCCATCACTTATCAGTTGTCGAATAGATGAAGAGTGATAAGTGAAATTCTTCCATTTGGGTTATACTTATTTCCAAGTAAGGAAAGGAGCTGATGAATTGGTAGTGCTGAAATTCTCTGCTATCAAATTTCAGATAACATTGTTTCAATTCCTGAAATATAAAAGGGTACTTCAGAGATAATTCGATTAATGAAATGGTTACTATTTGTAACAGCAACTATTATGGTAATAATGGTAACGACTAAATCAAAATAGCATGCAATGAGCTAAATGAGCAATATTTAGCATATAGCCGGTTATTTTGGGCTCCATGACAAGCTATGCGAATCTGAACTGAGTGTATGCAATAGTCGGATTCAATAAATTTCAGAATTGCTATATCAGACTAATTCAGAACTGCTACTATTTATAACGTGATTTTCTTGCAATGTAAACATTATTTGAAAAATGATTTGAAATTAGTCGAAAATAATTCATCCTTTTTAATTTCTAATTTATTTTCAATTGAGTTTTATTAAGTAGATTAAAGTCATAAATATTAAAACAGTAATAATATTTTAAGTTAGTTCTTTTAAAATAGCAACAAGTAAGACATAATAATAGTTCCTAATAAGTTAATTGATACAATGATGGGGAATATGATATTGATTTTACCTTATAATCATTTTTTTTTGATGAAATTTCATTTACCAATCAAGAATTGTTTCGTTCATGAATTTTTTTTTTTGTTATATATAGAATACTACCAAATTCTTAAATTCTTATCATTATTATCATTCTTTTTCTTATTATTATCATAATTATTGTTATTATTGTCATCATTATTACTATTATTATTTATTACTATTATTATTGTTATTTTCTATACATGTAATTGCAAATCATTTGATGTGTATTATCTTAAATTAAATTTGTGAGTTTTGAAAACTTTTAGTGGACAATTTGATCGTTAATTTTTGCTGAATTAATTCAACTTCTAAAATTGAATATTTGGATCATTTTGATTATTTATGGTTGCTTAAAGAATTAGTATATTTTTAAGTATTGCACGTTGTTTACTTGCTGAATTGTTCTTTAAGTTATTTGGTTTATTATGAATATTTTTGTTTACGATAATACCGATTTTAAACTATTTTTGTTGTTTGTTTGATATGTTCTTGTTCTTCTTTGTTTTGGTTTTAGTGGTTTTTTTTTTTTAACCGTATGGTAATTGGGATTTTCTTGTTTTGGATTGAATGATTAGTGTGATTTTTAATTAGAGTTTTGAGGTTTGTTTGTTTATATTTGTTCGTTTGTCGGTTTCTTTTAATGGCTTTTTTTCTATGGGTTATTTTATATTTCTTCATTTGTCTTTTTCTTTTAATGGTTTTTTTTTTGTATGGGTCATTTTATATTGTTTGTTTATTTATTATTTTTTCACTCATTTGTTTGTTTGTTTGTTTACTTTTTTGTTTGCTTATTTATTCATCTGTTTGTTTGCGTGTTTTGGAGCAAAAACAAAAATTCGGAATAGATTTTTGAGTTTGTTTAAAAAAAAAAATACATACCTAAACAATTTCTAACAAATTGGAAAATTTCAAGTCGATCGATGGAATTTATCGGTCAAATGGTAACAGAAGAAAATGACGAAAAGTTCGAAAATGACAAACTGAAGAGTTTGAAAGGTAATTCTTATCAACTATCAGTCATGTTTCTTTAAATTATATTGCAATTTGAATTCTGACAAAATTTGAATCGTTTCACTTTACCGAAATCATTTTTTGTTATTGAAATTTGAATAACAGCATGTAATAACATATTATTAGCTCAAATTTCCCATTTGATGAAAAGTTCTTTTCAGGTGACAATCAATAATGTATTTTTCAGAACTATACTCGAATTAATAATGCATATTACAAGCTTTTTCCCTCTCACTAATACCATCCCAATTTAGAAAGTATGGAAAAACTGAAATCAAATGAAATGAAATTGTGCAGCAAATGCTGCCAGTGCTTTGCATAAATTATATGTCACAGTTCAATGCAATAGTTGAAATAAAATTATTCAGTATGACAGGTTAAACATCAACTACCGTTATTTTATTGTTAAACGTGGATTATTAATACACATTGCTCGTCATTTCCACCTTTATAAACATTTACAGATATGATCCTTTGACAGTTTCTAATAAAAGCTATTTGGCGACCGTTGTCCCTCCACGAATTTCATTCAGTAGACGCTATTCCATTTATTTCAACAAAGATGTCAGCCTCTTTCCAAAATTTCGCGTTATATGAAAGATTTTAAGACATCTGAATAAAACTATAAATAATCATCCTTTTTTGAAATCAGAATTACTTACCTTTCTATGATGTTTATCCTTGGTACACCCGCGGGTGATTCCAGACGGGAATAAGTTGTTTTGCTTATTATTTGAATGAATAATGCCTTTATTGTATTAGCAATGAATGCGTGACTGTGCGTTTCCGATGCTAATATATTTTGAAATGCATTGTTTTGAAGAAATTTCAGTTTTAAAGTTATTAGTCAAATAGCAAGCGGTGTGATTTCTTATAAGCAACCATTTCATAATGTTTCGGTAAATTTGAACGTTTTTTAGAATCGGCAAGAAATCATATCAATCAATATGCATTTCATCCATTTCATCCTCCTCGCCTTTTTCTACCATATAAACACTCAAACTTCAGTGAGTCCGTTAAAGATTTAAAAAATAGAACACTTCAATATTCCAAGGATATCATTTTTCATATAATGAATAATTTCATATAATTTCAGGAAGGGCAAACCGTACAAACAGAGCCGTTGGATTTATCAGTGTGGAAAGTGAGTGAAGAACGAATACAGAATTTATCAATTAATGAAACGAATAAAGAACAGACGGAAAGTTTCCCTCAATCATCCCATTTGAGTGCTCATAAGACGCACACCGGTAAAAAGCCGCACCGTTGCACGATATGCGGGAGAAGTTTCGTTAGATCGTCAGATTTGGGCAGACATAACAGAACTCACACCGGTGAAAAACCGTACAGTTGTACGGCATGCAATCAAAGTTTCTCTCAATCATCGCATTTGAGCGCTCATAAGAGGACGCACACCGGTAAAAGGCCGCATAGTTGTACGGTATGCGGGAAATTTTTCGTTAGATCATGGAATATGAGTATACATAATAGAACTCATACCGGTCAAAAGCCGTATAGTTGCACGATATGCAATCAAAGTTTCTCTCAATCATCGCATTTGAATGTTCATAGGAGGACGCATACCGGTGAAAAGCCGTATAGTTGCACGATATGCAACCGAAGTTTTTCTCAATCATCGCATTTGAATGTACATAGGAGGGCGCATACCGGTGAAAAACGGTACAATTGTACGATATGCGGGAAAGGTTTCTATCATTTATCACATTTGGGCAAACATAACAGAACTCATACCGGTGAAATGCCATATAGGTGTTCAATATGCAATCAAAGTTTCTCTGATCTATCCAATATGAGACGACATGAGAGGACTCATGACATGAGTCCTCTCATGTCAATGAAACGCTACCGTCTTTGAATATGCATAAGAGGATGCATACCGGCATAGAGCCACACCGTTGAACGACATGTGGGAATCCTTTCGATCAGAGCAATAATTTGAAGAGGCATATGCAAACTCATTGCAATAAGTAGCATCTTTTGAATTGAATTGTATGCGACCAAAGTTTCCAAAAGCATTTTGAAATCACAAATGTAGAATTAAACTGAAATACTCGCTGCTACTTCCGGTACTGCAAATTATATCATTAATTGAATTATTGCGATTTCGTTTATTGAATTCTTGTAATTTAATTGTTCATTCATAACTTTTAGTTCTTTTGTTTCATTTTTGCTGTTATTATTATTCGTTACCTGTATATTATTCATTTTGTACCTGACAGTAAATTAGTATTATTTTACTGCTATTTATTTGTTAGTTCTTTCATTTTCATTTCAATGAATAAAATTCTCTGTATTATTTATCTGCTCACACAGTTATTAAACAGACAATCGTTGTAGCATTAATTATTGGATGAATAAGTAAAGATTACCGTTCATAGTCTCCTTTCTCGCTTTTTTACCGCCGTCTTCTTCTCTCAGTATTTTAACTATAAGTGAAGACTTGAAGTAATGCGCAATCTCACTTATTACCAGCAGAAGACACGTCCAACCAACCAACCATCAAAGCTTCCACAACGAATACAATTATGTTATTCTTTCATTTTAATTCATTCATTTTCTTTTTTCAACGAATATATTATCAAAGGAAAGAAGCGAATTGACACATTTCAATCTTAATTCATACATGCAAAAATCACGGAATTGACTAGTATATAAGTCATTGCTTCACAAAATCAATTTTATTCCTTGGCGATCATAACAGATATTAGAAGCGAACATCGTTGGGATGCAAAATGATCCGGGTCAAAGCGCGCCTTCCGAGAAAAATAAAAATCATCTATAATTTTTGCTCTTTTAATCGGTAACATGACCCGAGATGAGATTGATTCATTAGCATTTTTACAAATGGTTTATTCGATAAATACTACAGTGACTGTCTGTTCAGTAAGTGCGAGAGCAGATAAACGGTACAGAGAATTTTATTCGTTGATGTGAAATAAAGAGAAATAGCGAACGAATAGCAATAAAATAATACTAATTTACTGTCAGGTACAAAATGAATAATATACAGGTAAGGAATAACAATAACAGCGAAAAATGAATTAATGAGAACTCAATTAACGAAAAACAGAAACAATTTGCAGTACCGGAAATAGCAGCGGGTATTTCAGTTAAAAATTTAAAAGTTTTAGGAAACATTGGTTGCATACAATTCAATAGAAAAGAGCTACTTATTGCTATGAGTTTGCATATGCCTTTTCAAATTATTGCTTCGGTCGAAAGGTTTCCCGCATATCGTACAACGGTGTGGCTTTATGCCGGCATGTATCTTCTTATGCACATTCAAATTTGATGATTGAGAGAAACTTTGATTGCATATTACGCAATTGTAGGGCTTTTCACCGGTATGCGTCCTTCTATGTCCATTCAAATGGGATGACTGAGAGAAGCTTTGATTGCATACCGTGCAACTATACGGCTTTTCACCGGTATGCATCCGCCTATGTGCATTCAAACGCGATGATTGACAGAAACTTTTCCCGCATACCGTACAACTGTACGGCTTTTCACCAGTATGAATCCTCTCGTGTATCATCAAATATGTTGATTGAAAGAAACTTTTTCCGCATATCGTACAACTGTGCGGCTTTTCACCGGTATGAATCGTCTCATGTCTAATCAAATGCGATGAATCAGAGAAACTATTCCCGCATATCGTGCAATTGTACGGCTTTTCACCGGTATGAGTTCTGTTATGTCTCCTAAGATCCGATGAGTCAGGGAAACTTTTCCCGCATATTATACAACTGTGTAACTTTTCACCGGTATGAATCCTCTCATGTCTTATCAAATTCGATGAACGGGAGAAACTTTTCCTGCATATGGTACAACTGTGTGGCTTTTCACCAGTATGAATCTTCTTATGCCTTATCAAATGCGATGAATTAGGGAAACATTTCCCGCATATCGTACAACTACGCGGCTTTTTACCAGTATGTGTCTTCTTATGAGCACTCAAGTGAGATGATTGAGGGAAACTTTCCGTCTGTCCTTTATTCGTTTCATTAATTGATAAATTCTGTATTCGTTCCTCACTCACTTTCCACACTGATAAATCCAACGGCTCTGTTTGTACGGTTTGCCCTTCCTGAAATTATATGAAATTATTCATTATATGAAAAATGATATCTTGGAATATTGAAGTGTTCTATTTTTTAAATCTTTAACGGACTCACTGAAGTTTGAGTGTTTATATGGTAGAAAAAGGCGAGGAGGATGAAATGGATGAAATGCATATTGATTGATATGATTTCTTGCCGATTCTGAAAAATAATCAAATTTACTGATACACTATGAATGTTGCCTTTAAGAAATCACACCGCTCGCTCTTTTACAAAATAATTAAAAAAGTAATTTCTTAAAAACAATGCATTTCGAAATATATTAGCATCGGAACAGTTACGCATTCATTATTAATAAAATAAAGGTTTTGTTCATTGAAATAATAAGAAAACAACTTATTCCCGTTGGGAATTATCCGCGAGTGTTCCAAGGATAAACTTCATAGAAAGGCAGGTAATTCTGATTTCAAAGAAGGATGCTTATTTATAGTGTTGTTGTGATCTCCTAATATCTTCCACATAACGCGAAATTTTGGGAGGACACTGACATCTTTGTTGAAATAAATGAAGTAGTGTTTAATGAATGAAATTTGTGGAAGGACAGAGATCGCTAAGAAGCTTTTATTAGAGACTGTCAAAAAATCGAATCTCCAAATGCTCTAAAGGTGGGGATGACAATTAACGTGCATTAATAATCCATGTTTAACAATAAAATAACAGCAATTGATGTTTAATCTATCATATGAATAATTTTATTTCAACTATTGTATTGAACTGTAATAAATGAATTATGCAAAACATTGACTGAATTGTTTGCAGAATTTCATTTCATTTCATTTCAGTTTTTCCATGCATTCAAAATTAGACAATATTAGCGGAAAGGAAAGATCTTGTAAAATATATCACTTACTAAATGTGGAAAAATATACTACTGACTCTTTTTCTTGAAGAAAATTTTTCATCAAATGGGAAATTAGAACTGATAATATGTCATTACCCACACTCATATTTAAATTTCAATATGAAAAAAAGAGATCCCGGTCAGGACTTTTGCAACACAAAAATAAAGTGATTTAAATTTTGCCAGAATTCAACATGCTACAGAAAATTTATATTTTATCAATACGACAAGAAGTTTTTCCAGTATCGCTTGACATCAAATGCGAAAGAGACCGTTGATTGGCAATGCTGCCAGCTAGAAAATTTTCACCCTACTAAATAGCATCGAGATCTCCATATTGAACCATTAAGCGATAAATTTCCAATATTAAACCATTAAACGATAAATTTCCGTCTCAAAGGTGATAAATGTCCGTCACACGCGAAGTTTCCGTCTCAACATCAAATATCTCACTCTTATTCAGCTTGGCTACTTATATGCATAAAATGATGTTACACACATTAAATGCATAAATCACAATTTACCTATAAATCTTCATTGATCTAAACATAAAATTTCAATCACTTTACTTTTATGTTGCAAAACTTCTGAACGAAACCTCTCTTCTTATTGTAATTTAAATAAGAGTGCATGCAATGGCTTATTGTTAGTTCTAATTTTCTAATTGATAAAAAGTTTTTTTCAAAGTTAGGAACCAATAATATATTTTTCCATATATTAAATAAAAGTGTGTGTATTGAATATTTTCAGTTCTAAATTCTCCCATGATATATATTACAAGATTTTTCTTTCCCGCTAATATTATCTCAGTTTTGAAGGCGTGGAAAAACTGAAATGAAATGAAATTCTGGGAACAATATAGCCAATGCTTTGCATAAATCATTTGTCATAATTCAATACAATAGTTGAAATGAAACAATTCAGTATGATAGATTAAACATCAATTGCTGTTATTTTATTGCTAGATATGGACTATTAATACAAGTCATTTGTCATTCTCTCCTTTATAGCATTTGCAGGTACGTTCTTTTGACTCGTTTTAATAAAAGCTTTTTGGCGATCTCTGTCCTTCCACAAATTTCATTCACACTATAAATCAGAATTATCTTTCTGCAAAATTTACCTTCCAAACCACCGCGACCCATCTCCATCGGTAAGAAGTTGTTATGCTTATTGCATGAGTGAATTAAGCCTTTATTGTATTGGCAATGAATGCGTGACTGTTTTATTTCTCATGCTAATATATTTCAAAATGCATTGTTTTTAAAAAATTTCTTTTTTAATGTAATTAGTTAAAAAGCGAGCGGTGTGATTTCTTAAAGGTAACATTCATAGCATATCGGTAAGTTTGAATATTTTTCAGAATCGATAAGAAATCATATCAATCGATATGCATTTCATCCATTTCATCATCCTTGCCTTTTTCTTCCAATTAAATATACAGATTTCAGTGAGTTCATTAAAGATTTAAAAAAATAAAGTAATTCAATACTTCCAAAGATATCAAAATTCAGCGTTAAATGAGATGGATAATTTCATATAATTTCAGGAAGCACAAACGGTAAAAACAGAGTCGTTGGATTTATCGGTGCGGAAAGCCAGTGAGGAACAAATACAATTACAGAATTTACCAATTAATGAAACGAATAAAGGACAGACGGAAAGTTCCCCTCAATCATCGCATTTGAATGTCCATAAGAAGACGCATAGTGGTAAAAAGCTGCACAGTTGTATGATATGCGGGAAAAGTTTCTCTGGCTCATGGAATTTGATAATGCATAAGAGGACTCATACCGGTGAAAAGCCGCACAGTTGTACGATATGCGGGAAAAGTTTCTCTCAATCATCGGATTTGGGCATACATAACAGAATTCATACCGGTGAAAAGCCGTATAGCTGTTCGATATGCAATAAGAAATTCTCTGATCCATCGAATATAAGAAAACATGAGAGGACTCATGCCAGTGAAAAGCCTTACAGTTGCCCGATATGCAACCAAAGTTACTCTCGTTCAACGAATTTGAGGAAACATATGAAGACTTGTACTTAAATTCATCATTTTGATCTAAAAGATGTTTGCTAGAAAATTTAACGGCTTGAAAGAAATGCTTTATTTGTACATTCATTTGTCACTCATTGAAATTTCAAGTAATCGTATAATTAAACAAACTTCCTATTATTTCAGCGCTTTGCAACATCACTGTAATATCAACGTATTCTTAAAAATATTTTGAAGGTTTTCAAAAATCCGAAACTTTATTCTATCTTTCATAAACGATCAAATTTAGGAATAATTTGGGTAATTGTACTGCAATTCATGCTATGCTCAATTGAAAATAAATAGTTTAAAAGGAGATATTGAGAATTTCATTTACAATTATTAGTTCTCTTTTTTCATTTTTTGCTGTTATTGTCATTCCTTACCTGTATATCATCTCTCTATTTCATTTCAACAAATAAAATTCACTGTATCGTTTATCTGCTCGCACACTTATTGAACAGACAATCATTGCAGAACAAATTATTGGATGAATCACTTATAAAATATTAATGAACTAATCCGCAGTTTTTATAAGAACAAAATGAGAATGATAGTCTATTAAAAGCAATGAAACTAGCTTTGAAATAATTTCTGCACTGCAAGAAAATCACGTTATAAATAGTTGCAGTTCTTCTGAATCAGTCTGATATAGCAATTCTGAAATTTCTTGAATCTGACTATTGCATACACTCATTGCATGCACTCAGATCAGATTCTCTTAGTATGTTTCGGAGCATTTAGACGGGAGCACTCCCAAAATAACAGGCTATATGCTAAATATTGCTCATTTAGCTCACTGCATGCTATTTTGATACAGTCGTTACCATTGTTACGATAATTGTTGTTATTACAATTGTTACCATTTCATTAATCGAATTATCTCTGAAGTATCCTTTTATATTTCAGGAATTGAAACAATGTCATCGGAAATTTCTTCACCTCCAGTTCATTAGCTCTTCTTTCCTTGTAAATAGATATAACCCAAATGGAAGAATTTGTCATTTCCGATTTAAAAACCCTCTATATTACCTAACTCTGAAAGTTATCAGTTTTTTCCATTGCTTTTGATTGATTATATTTCTCATTTTGTTCTAAGATTGAATCATCAACATTTTATAAGTGATTCATCCAATAATTAATACTACAATGATTGTCGTTCAATAAGTGTGCGAGCAGATAAACGATACAGAGAATTTTATTCATTGAAATGAAATAAAGAGAATTAGTAAATGAAGAATTGAGAAATAGTACCAATTTACTGCAAGATATAAAATGAATAATATACAGGTAAGGAATAACAATAACAGCAAAAAATAAAAAAAAGGAACTAAAAGTTATGAATGAATAATTAAATTACAGGAACTCAATTAACGAAATACCGAAATAATTTGCAGTATCTTCATATGTATCTTCATATGTCTCTTCAAATGCGATAATCGTGAAAAACTTCGATTGCATATCGGGCAACTGTAAGGCTTTTCATTGCCATGAGTCCTCTCATGTTGTTTCATATTGGATAGATCAGAAAAACTTTGATTGCATATCGAACAGCTGTACGGCTTTTCACCGGTATGAGTTCTGCTATGTATGCTCAAAGCCGATGATCTAATGAATTTTTTCCCACATATCGCACAGCTATGTGGCATTTTGCCGGTATGAATTCTGCGATGTCTGCCCAAATTCGATGATTGAAGGAAACTCTTCCCGCATACCGTACAATTGCAAGGTTTTTCACTGATATGCGTTCTCCTATGTACATTCATAATCGATGATTGCGAGAAGCTTTGATTGCATACCGTGCAACTATACGGCTTTTCACCAGTGTGAGTTCTGGTATGTCTGCCCAAATCCGATGATTGAGAGAAACTTTGATTGCATACCATGCAACTGTACGGCTTTTCACCGGTATGAGTTCTGTTGTGTCTGTTTAAATCCGATAATTTATTGAAATCTTTCCCGCATATCGTACAATGGTTCGGCTTTTTACCGGTATGCATCTTCTTATGAGTACTCAAATACGACGATTGAGAGAAACTTTCCGTCTGTCCTTTATTCGTTTCTTGCAGTTTCATTCGTTCCTCACCCAATTTCGGCACCGATAAATCCAACGGCTCTGTTTGTACCGTTTGTGCTTCCTGAAATTATATGAAATTATCCGTCTCATTTAACGTTGAATATTTGATATCTTTGAAATATTAAAGTGTTCTATTTTTACAATCATTGATGAACTCACTGATGTTTGGATATTTAATTGGAAGAAAAAGGCGAGAAAGATGAAATGGATGAAATGCATATTGATTGATATGTTTTCTAATCGATTCTGAAAAACATTCAAATTTACCAATACATTATGGAATGGTTGCTTATAAGAAATCACACCGCTCACTCTTTGACAAATTGCTTTAAAGAAATTTTTTCCAAAGAATGCAATGCGAAATATGTTAGCGTCGGAAAGTCGAAAAGGTCACGCATTCATTGCTAATGCAAACCAAGATTTTATTCACTCAAAATATAAGCAAAGCAACCTTTTCCCGGTGGAGAATGGACGCGATGGTTTCAAAGGTAAATTTTTGCGGAAAGATAATTCTGATTTCAATAAAGGGTGCTTATTTATAGTGTGAATGAAATTTGTGGAAGGACGGAGATCGTCAAATAAGTTTTATTAGAAACTGTCAAAAAATCGTATCTGTAAATGCTATAAAGATGCGAATGACAAAATGGCTTGCATTATAATCCATGTTTAATAATAAAATAACAATTGATGTTTAATCTATCATACTGAATAATTTTATTTCAACTATTGTATTGAACTGTGAGAAATGATTTATGCAAAGAACTGGCTACATTGTTTCCAGAATTTCATTTCATTTCAGCTTTTCTCCATGCCTTCAAAATGGAGATAATGTTTGCAAGAGGGGAAAATCTACTTCAGTAATACTTGCTGTTTTGATTATTTTATGGTTATATCAAAGGTTTTGTTATAATTTGAGCCTTATTTATTATACTATCTGTTACAACAGCTACTCATTAGTACAATTCTCCATAGGGAATCATTGTTATTCTTTGTTTATTTAAAATATTCCTAATTTGTTGTCAACAAAATAGTTATAACGATGATAAGGGATAAAATGGCGTAGTGTAGCTGTGATAACAATCGAAGACTGATATTAATCGTAATATCACATTAGTATTAAGAAAATCATTTATTCAAACAATCATATATTATTTCTTTCAATTACTTATAAAGTAAGTTTTTTGGAATTTTCAAAACTTTAAAGCTTTCAAATTTTTACTATACTTATGCAAATTATATACTTTACGTGAACGTGAACTTCTTTCACGTTTAGGGTGAATAAAAGTGAAATATTCGATTAGATTTAAGTTTGTGACGGAAGCTTCGCATAGTTTGACAGCGGAAATTCATCACTTAATGGTTCAATATTGGAAATTCATCACTTAATGGTTCAATACAGAGGTCTCGATGGTATTCAGTAGAGTGAAAATTATCTAGTTGGAAAACAACATTGCCAACCATCGGTCTCATTCGCATTTGATGTCAAGCGATACTGGAGAAACTTCTTGCTGTTTTGATAAAATATATTTTCAATTGCAGGTTGAATTCTGGCAAAATTTAAATCACTTTATTTTTGTGTTGCAAAAGTCTTGACCGGAATCCTTTTTTTCATATTAAAATTTAAGCTATGAATATTATCAGTTCTAATTTCCCATGATATACTGCAACATTTTTCTCTGTCACTAATATCACGTCAATTTTGAAAGCATGAAAAAACTGAAATGAAGCGAAATGAATTTGTGCAAACAATGTTGCCAGTGCTTTGCATTTTTCAATACAATAATTGAAATGAAATTATTCAACATTACAGATTATACATCAATTTCTGTAATCTTATTGTTAAACATGAATTATTAATACATGTCAGTTGTCATCCTCACCTTTATAGCATTTGTAGATACGATCATTTGACAGCTTCTAATAAAAATTATTTGGTGATCTCTGTCTGTCCTTCCACAAATTTCATTCAGTGAACACTATTTCACTTATTTATCAAAATTCCGTGTTATGTGGGAGGAGATTTTAAAATATCACAATAAAACTATAAATTAGCAGCCATTTTTGAAATCAGAATTACCTTTCTATGAAGTTTACCCTTTGGACACCCGCGAGCGATTCCAAACGAGAATAAGTTTTATGCTTATTATTTGAATGAACAAAGCCTTTATTTTATTAGCAGTGAACGAGTAACTGTTGCATTTCGACTCTAATATATTTCGGAATGCATTGCATTGAAGAAATTCCTTTTTTAAAATAATTAGTCAAATAGCGAGCTGCGTGATTTCATGTAAGCGAACCATTCCATAATGTATTGGTAAATTTGAATATTTTTCAGAATCGGCAAGAAATCATATCAATCAATATGCATTTCATCAATTTCATCTTCCTCGTCTTTTTCTTCCAATTAAATATCCAAACCTCGGTAAGTTCATTAGTGATTTAAAAAAATTAGACATTTCAATAATTCAAAGACATCAAATATTTAAAGTTAAATGAGATGGATAATTTCATATAATTTCAGGAAGCACAAACGGTACAAACAGAGCCGTTGGATTTATCAGTGCGGAAAGTGAGTGAGGAACGAATACAATTACAGAAATTATCAAATAGTGAAACGAATCAAGCACAGACGGAAAGTTTCCCTCAATCATCCCATTTGAGTGCTCATGAGAAGACGCGTACCGGTGAAAAGGCACACAGTTGTACGATATGTGGGAAAAGTTTTTCTCAATCATCTCATTTGATAAGACACGAGATGATTCATACTGGTGAAAAGCCGCACAGTTGTGCGATATGCGGGAAAAGTTTCTCTCATTCATCGCATTTGATGAGACATGAGATGATTCATACCGGTGAAAAGCCGCAAAGATGCACGATATGCGGAAAAAGTTTCTCCCAATCAACACATTTGATAATACATGAGAGGATTCATACTGGTGAAAGGCCGCACAGTTGTACGGTATGCGGGAAAAGTTTCTGTCAATCATCGAGTTTGATAATACATGAGAGGATTCATACCGGTGAAAAGCCGTACAGCTGTTCGATATGCAATAGGAATTTCTCTGATACATCGAATATGAAAAAACATGAGAAGACTCACACCGGTGAAAAGCCATACAGTTGTATGATATGCGGGAAAAGATTTTCTCAATCATCGGATTTGAGTAGACATAACAGAACTCATGCCGGTGAAAAGCCATACAGTTGCACGGTATGTGGGAAAAGTTTTGTTAAATCATCGGATTTGTGCAGACATAACAGAAGTCATACTGGTGAAAGGCCGCACAGTTGTACGGTATGCGGGAAAAGTTTCTGTCAATCATCGAGTTTGATAATACATGAGAGGATTCATACCGGTGAAAAGCCGTACAGCTGTTCGATATGCAATAGGAATTTCTCTGATACATCGAATATGAAAAAACATGAGAAGACTCACACCGGTGAAAAGCCATACAGTTGTATGATATGCGGGAAAAGATTTTCTCAATCATCGGATTTGAGTAGACATAACAGAACTCATGCCGGTGAAAAGCCATACAGTTGCACGGTATGTGGGAAAAGTTTTGTTAAATCATCGGATTTGTGCAGACATAACAGAAGTCATACTGGTGAAAGGCCGCACAGTTGTACGGTATGCGGGAAAAGTTTCTGTCAATCATCGAGTTTGATAATACATGAGAGGATTCATACCGGTGAAAAGCCGTACAGCTGTTCGATATGCAATAGGAGTTTCTCTGATACATCGAATATGAGAAAACATGAGAAGACTCACACCGATGAAAAGACACACAGTTGTACGATATGCGGGAAACCTTTCGATCGAAGCGATAATTTGAAAGAGCACATGAAAACTCATAGCAGTACGATGCTTTTTAATTGAATGGTATGCAACCAAAGTTTCCTAAAGCAATTCATTTTAAAATCACATGCGAAGAATTAAATTGAAATACTCGCCGCTATTTCTGGTACTGAAAATTATTTCGTTAATTGATTTCTTGCAATTTAATTATTCATTCATAACTTTAGTTCTTTTTTTTTCATTTTTTGCTGTTATTGTTATTCCTTACCTGTATATTATTCATTAGTATTATTTTACTGCTATTCATTTATTTTTCCCTTTATTTCATTTCATTGAATAAAATTCTCTGTATTGTTTATCTGCTCGCATGCTTATTGAACATACAATCACTGCAATATTAATTGTTGGATGAATCACTTGTAAAAATGTTGATGAATATTAACAGCAAATAATTTTAATCAATCATTTATTATAACTGTCACAAAGAATCAACATCACACAAAGACAGATTAGTTAACGGAAGCCGAAATGAAACATCATTCCATGTTAAATTATTCCAATTATGCATTCGCTAATTTCAAAAAGAAACTTCTGCCGAACTTCTCAGATTTTTGAATGCTGCAATTTCCATTCCTTACTTTTAACATTCTAGGCAATCCATGTAAAATCCTACAAATTTCAATGATTATTTTTGATGTCTGCATTGCAAGAAAGTCATGTTATAAATACTGGCAGTTCTTCTAAATTATTCTGATATAGCAATTCTGAAATTTCTTGATCGTTAATTTCAAACAAATTGGAAATGTAAAACTTCGCTTTGATTTACTGTTAATAAACAATGCTCCCGTTATGCGTTATTATATCCGGTATATAGTTGATAGATTTGTTAATTTTATCGAATGAGTACATCCAATGAAAGATATCCGGAATAACCGGAAATTTTTATCATATGGAAATAGTTGGAAAGAGTGCCTATAATTTTTTATCATATGGAAATAGTTGGAAAGAGTGCCTTCGTGCATTACAGGAAAATATGTGTGAAACTGTGCAAGTAATTCATTTTTCTTTTTTCCTATTTTGTGATTAAGTGATTGCGATGGAAATGGAAAGTTGTCCCAATAAGATTCTCAGAATGTGACCTTTCCAGTTTGACATTGCCTGTAAACTCGTTTGGATGAGACGAAGAGGAGGTCAGCGACGCTCGAAGAACGAAATGCCCGAGAAGAAACAAGGAATCAGCATCTCAGGAGCCGGAATATAACAAAGAAGGGAAATATAGTCCCTCTGTCTGAATATGACGGTGAAATCGAGAGTTGGCCATATGAAGTACATGGGCTGCATTATCAGACGACGACGAAAAGTCTGGTGATACTAATGGAGACGAGTGGTAATAGAAAATCGGAAGTATCGTTCTGCGAAATTGTCCTGCAAGTTTTAGTTGTTGCAGCAATTTAATCTATTACTTGAATCTAACTTATATTAGATTTAAGCCTATTTCAAAGGATCGAGAACAATTGCGATTCTGATTCCCGCCACGCAGACAGCGTTGGCTACGGCAGTATCGGAAAATTTTCATCCTGGAGATTTGGTTGATTTTCCCGAACAATTCCGAAAGAAGTTGCAAGTACTGCAGGCAGAAGCATACACAATGGTCCGAGCAGAAAGAAACAACAATATCAATAATTTATAATTTTAATAATGTTAGAAGTGATCATATGTTTGTATCATATGTTTTAACAAAATGATATTCATATGTCTATAATCACATTCATAATCATATTCATATTTCATGTTCGTATGATCATATGTTTTAACAAAATCATATTTATAAGTCAAAAAAGTTCTTCCTCCTATGATATACTAAGCAGTTCATAAATTTTCCATATTCTCAAATGATTTCCATTTCCAGTGTAAGACATGTGCAACAGGCAGTTTGGAACAATAAAAGGTTGGCGCATTCACTCCTCGAAATTACATAAGCAGGATGGTAAGCTTTTCAGGAGGACGAAATATCTAATTATACATTTGATCTCATATAAAATTAACTATTACAATAGTTATGCATATTTTATATTAAAGAGTTCATAAAATTTCCGTATTCTCTATTGATCGCCACTACGATGACTAAAATAAATATAACCATTGAAATTCTTCTCGGTTCTATTACGTTGTGTATTCTTTTTCTTTGTTGAAAATTCAGATGATAAAAGTATTTACTTACATATATATATGTATTATATACATACATTCTTATAATAATAATAATTTGTTATTAATTATAAATGCCTTCATTACTATTGTTCATTGATCCTTAACTACAACGTGTAATAATAGATGAGAAAAGATGAATGATAAAAATATCTTTGCAACGACCGCCAGTAATTTTATTTATTTTATAAAGAAATAATAAGCGAATATGATTGCAAATTTCAATTAATTGGTCTCACAAAAATTTAAAATCAAAAATTTCTACAACAATGCACAAACTATTTTGTATACAATATTGTATTAAAGGACGTCAACGAAATCACTTACTGTAAACCCCGTACAGACTTAGTTTCTATCACTTACCGTATACTTCGTACAGATTTAGCTTTCCATTTATGCAAATTTTACACTGCCAACTTCGTTATTCCAGTATTTAAAATTTGTCACTTCTTTCCAAATATCATTAAAAATTGTTTTAAAGAGGAGGTATATTTTTGCAAACAGATTTATTACATATCCGAAATGGTTGGAGTCAAACTTCTAATTTACTTATAATTGTAAATAAATTGATGAGAGTACTGAAATATTTTGATATTGGGTAAATTCATAGTTTCAAACAACGAAATATTTAAAATTGTGCTTTAAAAAAGTTGCAATAGGCTCTGCAACAAATCCTGCTTGGCCAAATCCTACCCGTGATGACACTTATTTACTACCACAATTAGATTCAGTCATGTAATTGTATTTAAATTTTGGCAATCGCATAAATTTTAGTATGAACTAAATCAAATATAAATGCTGTATTGATTTATCTCACATTATATCACTGAACCGAATTGAATTTACTAAAATCATGAATTTTATTATAGTTCCATATGTAATGTGTCGCACAATTAATAGTATTAGCACATCCAACAGGCACTTTACTATAACGCATAAGTTATTATAATTTATATCATTTCACTTTCAATGTTCCAAATGTTTTGACCGAAACTTTTTTTGGTATTGAAATATAAACAAGAGTATGTGTAATGACATGTTATTCGTTCAAATTTCCCATTTGATGAAAAGTTCGTTTCAGGTGGGAATCAATGGTATATAATTCAGAATATATATTAATAATATATATTACAAGTTTTTTCCCTCTCACTAATACCAACCCAATTTTGAAAGCATGGAAAAAGTGTGATCAAATGAAATGAAATCATGCAGCGAATGCTGCCAGTGCTTTGCATAAATTCTTTGTCACAGTTCAATACAATAATTGAAATAAAATTATTCAGTATGACAGGTTAAACATCAACTGCCGTTATTTTATTGTTAAGCATGAAATATTAATACACGTTATTCGTCAATCCCACCTTTGTAAACGTTTACAGATATGATCCTTTGATATTTTCTAATAAAAGCTTTTTGGCGATCGTTGTCACTCCACGAATTTCATTCAGTAAACGCTATTCCATTTATTTTTAACAAAGACGTCAGCCTCTTCTCAAGATTTCGCATTATATGGAAGATTTTAAGACATCTCAATAAAACTATAAATATGTAGCATTTTTTGAAATTAAAATTATCTTTCTATGAAGTTTGTCCTTGGAACACTCGTGGGCGATTCCAGACGAGAATAAGTTATTTTGCTTATTATTTGAATGAACAATGCCTTTATTTTACTAGCAATGAATGCGTGAGTTTCTGATGCCAATGTATTTTGAAATGCATTGTTTTTAAGAAATTTCTTTTTAAAGTAATTAGTCAAAGAGCGAGCGATGTAATTTTTCATAAGCAACCACTCCATAATGTATTGTAAATTTGAATACTTTTCAGAATCGGCAAGAAATCATATCAATCAATATGCATTTCATTCATTTCATCTTCCTCGCCTTTTTCTTCCAATTAAACATCCAAACTTCAGTGAGTTCATTAAAGATTTAAAAAATATTTTAATATTTCAAACATATCAAATATTCAAAGTTAAATGAGATAGATAATTTCATATAATTTCAGGAAGCACAAACGATACAAACAAAGCCGTCGGAAATATCGGTGCGAAAAATGAATGAGGAACAAATGCAGTTACAGAATTTACCAATTAATGAAACGAACAAAGGACAGACGGAGAGTTTCCTTGAATCACCGCATTTGATTCTTCATGAGAAGACGCATGCTGGTGAAATGGCGCACCGTTGCACGATATGCGGGAAAAGTTTCACTCAGTCAACGCATTTGATGATACATGAGAGGACACATACCGGTGAACAGCAGCACAGTTGTACGATATGAGGGAAAAGTTTCTTCTATTCATCGCATTTGGCAAGACATGAGAGGATTCATACTGTCGAAAAGCCGTATAGTTGTACGATATGCGGGAGAAGTTTCTCTCAATCATCGCATTTGACAAGACATGAGAGGATTCATACTGGTGAAAAGCTGCACAGTTGCACGATATGCGGGAAAAGCTTCTTTGACTCATCGGATCTGAGGAAACATAACAGAACTCATACCGGCGAAAAGCCGTACAGTTGCACGGTATGCGGGAAAAGCTTCTTCTATTCATCGCATTTGATAAGACATGAGAGGATTCATACTGGTGAAAAGCCGTATAGTTGTACGATATGCGGGAAAAGTTTCTCTCAATCATCGTGTTTGATAAGGCATGAGAGGATTCATACTGGTGAATAGCCGCACAGTTGTACGATATGCGGAAAAAGTTATTCTGATTCATCGGATTTGAGGAAACATAATAGAACTCATACCGGTGAAAAGCCGTGAAATTGTACGATATGCGGCAAAATTTACTGTCAATCATCGCATTTGAGTGCTTATAAAAGGATACATACCGGATAAAGCAACACTGTTGTACGATATGCGGGAAAGCTTCCATCCGAAGCAATGATTTGAATTTCCTAAAACAATTCCATTTAATTTTTAGCTGAAATGCTCGTTGCTATTTCCGGTACTGTAAATTATTTCCATATTTCGTTAATTGAATCGTTCATTAATTCACGTTTTATAACTTTTTGCTGTTATTGTTATTTCTTACCTGTATGTTATTCGTTTTATACCTAACAGTATGTTGTATTATTTTACTGCTATTCATTTATTCTTTATTTCGCTTCAACGAATAAAATTCTCTGTATCGTTTATATGTTGGCACATTTATTTTACAGACAATCATTGGGGTATTAATTATTGGATGAATCACTAATATAATGTTGATGACTCAATCCGTAATTTTTATTAGAACAAAATGAGAAAGATAATCAATTATAAGCAATAAAAGCAACTGATAACTTTCAGGACTAATATGGAGGTTTTTTTAGTCGGAAATGACATCATCGAACCCAATCATTTGTAAAAAGTACAGAAGTAAACAATTATCTTTATCACTTATTAGTTGTTGTATAAATGGAAAGTGATAAGTGAAATGCTTTCATCGGCGCTATTTCTTAACAAGGCAATGACAATGCCATTGGAGAAAGATTAAAATGGAATAGAAATGGATTGGTTGAAAAAAGTTGTAAGTGTAAGAAATAAAAATACTACCAATGTAGAAAAAATTCCACACCAAATATGCTATAAATTAGTTATACTATCTTAATACAACTGAAACTGAAATCAAACTTAATATCCTAAAAATAAAACACAACCTTATCTATTCGAAACCAACCCAACAGCTCCAGATAAAACACAAAACACATAATATAGATGATTGAAATCAGACATCTAACAATTTAGAATTTATTTACAGTTGTAAACTAATTGATGAAGTCGTAAATCAATTTTCATATTTGCATTTGGTTTTCATTTCATTTTCAACTTTCAATTTTCATGTTCATATTAATGATTCAGATTATTTCTTCATTTGAAGTTTCAAAATGAGCTGCTTTAGGAAACTTTGGTTGCACAGAATTCAATTGAAAAAGAGCTACTTATTGCTATGAGGATACATGTGCTCTGTAAATCTATCACTTCAATAGAAACGTTTCTCTTATTATTTTATAAAGCAATTTCTGGTAGCGGTGATAAAGAGCACTTGTACAGTTCTTTGCAAAAATTACAGATTGGTTCTTCAAAATTTTACAATTGCTTCAACCAATAATTAATACTGCAATGAATGTGTGTCCAATAAGTGTGCAAACGGATAAACGACACGGAGAATTTTATTCAGCGAAATGAAATAAAGAGAAAAATTAAATAAGTAGCGGCGAAACAATACTATTTTACACGTCAGATACAAAATGATTATTATACAGGTAAGGAATAATAATAACAGCAAAAATGAAATAAAAGAACTAACAATTATGAATGAATAATTAAATTGCAAGAATTCAATTAATGAAACACCGAAACAATTTGCAGTATCGGAAATAGTGGCGAATATTTCTGTTTAATTTATCATTTGAAATTTCAAAATTAACTCCATTAGGAAGCTTCGGTTGCATACGATACAACTGAAAAAGAGCTACTTATTACTATGAGTTTCCATGTGCTCTTTAAACTTATCACTTCGATAGAAACGTTTCTCGCATGTCGGACAAATGTACAACTTTTTAACAGTACAAGTCTTCATATGTTTCTTCAAGTGCGATGGCTGAGAAAAACTTTTATTGCATATCAGGCAACTGTAAGGCTTTTCACCAGTATGAATCCTCTCATGTCTTATCAAATGCGCTGATTGAGAGAAACTTTGATTGCATATCATACAACTGTGCGGCTTTTCACCGCTGTGAGTTCTGTTATGTCTGCCCAAAATCGATGATTGAGAGAAACTTTTATTGCATACCGTACAACTGTGTGGCTTCTCACCGGTATGAGTCCTCTCATGCAATATCAAATTCCATGAGCTAGAGAAACTTTTCCCGCATATCATACAACTGTACGGCTTTTCACCGGTATGCATCCTCCTATGAATAATCAAACGCGATGATTGAGAGAAACTTTGATTGCATACCGTACAACTGTACTGCTTTTCACCGGTATGAGTTCTGCTGTGTCTGTTTAAATCCGATAATTTATTGAAATCTTTTCCGCATATCGTACAATGGTTCGGCTTTTTACCGGTATGCATCTTCTTATGAGTACTGAAGTACGACGATTGAGAGAAACTTTCCATCTGTCCTTTATTCGTTTCTTGCAGTTTTATTCGTTCCTCATTCACTTTCCGCACTGATAAATCCAACGGCTCTGTTTGTACCGTTTGTGCTTCCTGAAATTATATGAAATTATCCGTCTCATTTAACGTTGATTATTCGGTGTCTTTGAAATATTGAAGTGTCTAATTTTTTTAATTCATTAATAAACTGACCGAAGTTTGAATGTTTAATTGGAAGGACAAGGCAAGGAGGATGAAATGGATGAAATGCATATTGATTGATATGATATCTTGCCGATTCTGAAAAATATTCAAATTTACTGATACATTATGAAATGATTGCTTATAAGAAATCACATCGCTCGCTCTTTGACAAATTGGTTAAACGAATTTTTTTCCAAACAATGTATTTCGAAATATGTTAGCGTCAGATAGGCAGCGGTCATACATTCATTGCTAATACAATAATAAATTAATTCATTCAAATAATAAGGAAAACAACTTCTTCCAGGAGGGAATCGGTCACAGGGATTCCAAAGTAAATTTTATGGAGAGATAATTGTAATTTCAAAAAAGGGTGCTTATTTATAGTCTTATTGAGATCTCTTAATATCTTCCACATAACACGAAATTTAGGAGAAAGACTGACATCTTTGTTGAAATAAATGAAATAGTGTTTACTAAACGAAATTTCTGGAAGGACAGACGTTGCCAAAAAGGTTTTATTAGATATTGTCAAAAGATCGTACCTGCAAATGCTATAAAGGTGAAAGTGACAATTGTTGTGTATTAATAATCCATTTTTAACAATAAAATAACAGCAATTGATGTTTAATTTATCATACTGAAATAATTTATGCAAAGCACTGGCAGCACTTTTTGCACAATTTCATTTTATTTCAAATCAGTTTTTTGATGCATTCAATGGATAATATTAGCGGGAGAGGAAAATCTTGTTAAATATACCATTGAATAATATATGATAATTCAACTATTGATTCTTTACATTGAAAGGAAATTTTCATCAATTAGAAAATTAGAACTAGTGCCATTACACGCACTCTTACTTAAATTTCAATAAGAAAAAAAGTCTCCGTTCAGAAGTTTTGCAACATAAATGATATTATCATGATAATAGCCGGTACATTAATGGAATAATAAAGTGCCTGTTGGAGGAGTAAATACTACTAATTGTGCAATATATTACGTGTTGAACTGCAATAAAGCTCAGGAATTCTATTCGTTCAATAATTATTAACACCCGATGTTTGTCGGAGTTCTCGGTGGTATTCATTAGGGTGAAAATTTTCTAATTGGCAGTATTTCCAATCACCACCGATCTCCTTCGACATTTAGTGTGAAGCGATAATGGAGAGGCATCTCGTCGTATTGATGAAATTTATTTTCCATTGCATATTGGATTCCGGCACAATTTCAATAATTTTAATTGTACTTTTTTTTAAAACATCTGATTGAAACCTTTTTTTTCCCTATTGAAATATAAGTAAGAATTTGTATAATGACATATTATCAGTTCTAATTTACCATTTGATGAAAAACTCTTTTCAGGATGAGAATCAATAATGTATTTTTCCACATATTAATCAATGATATATTTTGCAAGATTTTCCCCTCTCTCTGATACTATCTCAATTATGAAGGCATGGAAAAACTGAAATGAAATTCTGGAAATAATGTTACCAGTGCTTTGCATAAATCATTTGTCACAGTTCAATGAAATAGTTGAAATGATATTATTCACATGATAGATTAAACATCGATTACAATTACTTCATTGTTAAACATAAATTATTAATACGCTTTTGTCATTTTCACTTTGCAAGCAATTACAAATACGATCTTTTGAAAGTTTCGAATAAAAGCTTCTTGGCGATCTCTGTCCTCCACAAATTTCATTCAGTAAACACTATTTCATTTATCTCAACAAAGACGTCAGCCTCTTCCCAAAATTTTAATTATGTGGAAGATTATAAGGCATCATAATAAAACTCTTCTTCTGAAATCTGAATTCTTCTGAAGTCTGAAATCTTTTGAACCTCTTCTGAAATCAGATTTATCTTTCTATCAAATTTACCTTTAGAGCATCCGCGATCGATTTCCACCGGGAGTAAATAGTTATGCTTATATATGAATAATGTCTATATTGTATTCGCAATGAACGCGTGACTGTGCGTCTGATGCTAATATATTTTGAAATGCATTGTTCTGAAGAAATTTCTTCTTTAATGAAATTTGTTAAAAAGCGAGCGGTGTGATTTCTTACAAGCAACCACTCCGCAATGTATTGGCAAATTTGAATATTTTTCAGAATCGGCAAGAAATCATATCAATCAATATGCATTTTAGCAATTTCATCCTCCTTGCCATTTCCTTCCAATTAAATATCCAAACTTCAGTGAGTTCATTAAAAATTTAAAAAATTAAAAATATTTTAATATTCCTGAGATATCAAATATCCAACGTTAAATGAGATGGATAATTTCATATAATTTCAGGAAGCACAAACGGTACAAACAGAACCGTTGGATTTATCGATGCGAAAAGTGAGTGAGGAACGAATAAAACTGCAGGATACGAATAAAGGACAGACGGAAAGTTTCCCTCAATCATCTCATTTGAGTGCTCATAAGAAGACGCATACTGGTGAAAAGCCGCACCGCTGCACGATATGTGGGAAAAGTTTCAATAAATTATGGGGTTTATGCAGACACAACAGAATTCACACCGGTGAAAAGCCGTACAGTTGTGCGATATGCAATCAAAGATTCTCTCAATTATCGGATTTGGGCAGACATAACAAAACTCATACCGGTGAAAAGCCGTACAGTTGTACGGTATGCAGTAGAAGTTTCTCTCAATCATCGAATTTGAATGCACATTGGCGGACGCATACCGGTGAAAAGCCACACAGTTGTACAATATGTGGGAAAAGTTTCTCTAGATCATCGGATTTGATCATACATCATAGAGCCCATACCGGTGAAAAGCCATATAGTTGCACGATATGCAATCAAAGCTTCTCTCAATCATCGAATTTGAATGCACATAGGAGGATGCAGCATAATGCCGCACCGTTGTACGATATGCGGGAAACCTTTCGATCGAAGCAATAGTTTGAAAGGGCACAAACTCATAGCACTATGAAACTGCTTTTCAATTGATTTGTATACAGCCGAAGTTTCCTGAAGCAATTTATTTTGAATTTAAACACAAAGAAAGTTCATATTGAAAAAGGAAATAGCAAGGCGAATTTCAAACTGAGTTAATTAAATTCTTGCAATTTAATTATTGATTCATAACTTTTAGTTCCTTTTTTTTCGTTTTTTACTGTTATTGTTATTCCTTACCTGTATATTATTCATTTTTACCTGAAAGTAAATTATATTATTTTTCTACTGTTTATTTACTTTTTCTCTTTATTTCATTTCATTGAATAAAATTCTCTGTATTGTTTATCTGCTCGCATGCTTATTGAACATACAATCACTGCAATATTTATTGTTGGATGAATCACTTGTAAAAATTAACAGCAAATGATTTTAATCAATCATTTATTATAACTGTCACAAAGAATCAACATCACACAAAGACAGATTAGTTAACGGAAGCCGAAATGAAACATCATTCCATGTTAAATTATTCCAATTATGCATTCGCTAATTTCAAAAAGAAACTTCTGCCGAACTTCTCAGATTTTTGAATGCTGCAATTTCAATTCCTTACTTTTTACTTTCAAGGCACCTTATGTCAAGTCCTACAAATTTCTATGGCTATTTTTGAAATAATTTCTACACTGCAAGAAAATAGCGTTATAAATACTAGCAGTTCTTCTGAATCGGTCAGATATAGCAATTCTGAAATGTCTTGAATTCGACTATTGCATACACTCAGGGAAACATTGGTTGCATACAATTCAATTGAAAAAGTACTACTTATTGCTATGAGTTTGCATATGCCTTTCAAATTATTGCTTTGGTAGAAAGATTTCCCGCATATCGTACAACGGTGTGGCTTTATGCTGGCATGTATCCTCTCATGTACATTCAAAGACGATGATTGTGTGCTTTGATTGCATATAATGCAACTGTACGGGCTTTTTGCCGTTATGAGTTCTGTTATGATCAAAACCGATGATTGAGAGAAACTTTTATTGCATAGCGTACGACTGTACGGCTTTTCACCGGTGTAAATTCTGTTGTGTCTACTTAAATCCGGTAATTTATTGAAACTTTTTCCGCATATCGTGCAACGGTGCGGCTTTTTTACCGGTATGCTTCTTCTTATGAGCACTCAAATGCGATGATCGAGAGAAACTTTCCGTCTGTCCTTTATTATTCGTTTTATTAATTCAAAACTTTTGCATTACAGAAAGTAAAACGATTCAAACTTCGTAGAATTCAATTTGCAATAGAAAATAAATTTCATCAAAATTAACTTTTTTTTTTTAAAATCGTACGGTATGAAGCTTTTCCAGTATTGCTTGGCACTAAATACCGAAGGAAATCAGCGATCATTGATAGTGCTTTATTATTCCATTTAACAAGAAATTTATTGCGTGACAATGAAGTTTGTTGCAATAATTAATGAACAAATACGTAAAATAATATGAGATTTATAACGAATTGAGGAAGAAATTTATCATATCAGTAATTATATCAGTGATATTTATCATATTAACGATGAGAATTTATTACGAATTGAAGAAGAAATTCACCATATCAGTGATTAAGAAATTGTAATAAATTTTGATTAATCAATTGATATTTTAATAAATGAAGTTGCATTGACTGTATGTTTCTTCATGCTATGTGAGCAAGAATGAATGCTAATTCATTTATCGCCGTAAAAATATGATATATATTCTGAGCGTATATTCTAACATTTTAGGCTTCCTTCTGTAAAGTCATTTTATTGGAAATAGTTATATTTCGAAATCGAATTCTTTCTTTTCACATTTATCAAATCTTGTTTCTTTTTTATTATATTTGCAAATGATAATTTATCAAAAGGTTTGCTTAAGTTATTATAAAAATTATTAGTTAGTGAAATTCTTCTCAAAACCGATAACAATTAGGAGAAAAACAAAATAATCAGGTGATCCTTAAAGCAAACAATTTGTAATAATTATGAAATTATAGATGAAATGAAATAAGTTTTAATAAAGTTTATTCTCTGTTGTAAGTTGAATTCCGGCAAAATTTGAATTATTTTACTTTTATGTTGCAAAACTTCTGATCGGAACCTTTTTTTCTAATAGAAATTACGCAAGAGTATAATAATATGTGTAATGACATATTAACAGTTCTAAATTACCATTTGATGACAAATTCTTTTCAGGAAGACAATCAGTAAAATATTTTTCTACATATTAATCAATGATATACATTACAAAATTTTTCCTCCCCCTAATACTGTCTCAATTTTGAATGCGTGGAAAAACTGAAATGAAATGAAATTTTGGAAACAATTTAATCACTGCTTTGCATAAATTATATATCACAATTCAATACAATAGTTGAAATAAAATTATTCAGCATAATAGTATGATAGATTAAACATCAACAACTGTTACTTTATTGTTAAGCATGAATTATTAACACACGCTGTTCGTCATTCCCACATTTAAAGCATTTGCAGATACGATCTTTTGACAGTTATTAATAAAAGCTTCTTGGCGATCTCTGTCCCTCCACAAATGTCATTCAGCAAACACTATTTTATTTATTTCAACAAAGATGTCAGCTTTTGTTTCAGCCTCTTCCCAAAATCTCGCTTTATGTGGAAGATTTTAAGACCTTACAATAAAACTACAAGAAATAAGTAGGCTTTTCTGAAATCAGAATTACGTACCTTTCTATGTAGTTTATCCATGGGACACCCGCGGGCGATTCCAGACGGGAATAAGTTGTTTTGCTTATTATTTGAATGAATAATGCCTTCATTGTATCAGCAATGAATGCATGACTGTGCGTTGCCGATGCCAATGTATTTTGAAATGATTGTTTTTAAGAAGTTACTTTTTAAAGTAATTAGTCAAAGAGCGAGCGATGTGATTTCTTAAAGGCAACATTCATAGTGTATCAGTAAATTTGAATAATTTTCAGAATCGGCAAGAAATCATATCAATCAATATGCATTTCATCCATTCCATCTTCCTCACTCTTTTCTTCCGATTAAACACCCAAACTTCAGTGAGTTCATTAAAGATTAAAAAAAATAAAATATTTTAACGTTTCAAAGACATCAAATATTTAAAGTTAAATGAGATGGATAATTACATATAATTTCAGGAAGCACAAACGGTACAAACAGAGCCGTTGGATTTATCAGTGCGGAAAGTGAGTGAGGAACGAATACAATCACAGAATTTATCAATTAATGAAACGAACAAAGGACAGACGGAAAGTTTCCCTCATTCATCGCATTTAGATGCTCATAATAAGACACATACTGGTGAAAAGCAGTACAGTTGTGCGATATGTGGGAGAAGTTTCTCTTATTCATCGAATATGATAAGACATGAGAGGATTCATACCGGTGAAAAGCCATACAGTTGTATGATATGCGGGAAAAATTTCTCTAACTCATTAGATCTGAAGAAACATAACAGAACTCATACCGGTGAAAAGTCGTACAATTGCACGATATGCGGGAAAAATTTCTCTTATTCATCGATTTTGATAAGACATGAGAGGATCCATACCGGTGAAAAGCCACACAGTTGTATGATATGCGGGAAAAATTTCTCTGACTCATGGGATCTGAGGAAACATAACAGAACTCATACTGGTGAGAAGCCGTACAGTTGTACAATATGCGGGAAAAGTTTCTCTCAATCATCGAATTTGAGTGCTCATAAGAAGACGCACACTTGTGAAAAGCCGCACAGTTGCGGGATATGCGGGAAAAGTTTTTTTCAATTATCGCATTTGATAAGACATGAGAGGGTTCATACTGGTGAAAAGCCGCACCATTGTACGATATGCGGGAAAAGTTTCTCTGACTCATCGGATCTAAGAAAACATAACAGAACTCATGCCGGTGAAAAGCCGTAAAATTGTGCGATATGCGGCAAAATTTACTCTCATTTGGGTGCTTATAAAAGGATGCATACCGGATAATGCAACATTGATGTACGATATGCTGGAAACCTTTCTACCAAGCAATAATTTGAAAGGCACATACAAACTCTTAGCAATAAAATACTCGTTTTCAATTGAATTGCGTGCAACCAATGTTTCCTAAAACGGTTCCACTTGAATTTTTGACTGAAATGCTCTGTTTCCAGTAATTTTAATTATTTCAATATTTCGTGAAATGAATCGTTCATAATTTCATACTCCTTATAAATTTTTTGCTGTTATTGTTATTTCTTACCTGTATGTTATTCGTTTTATACCTAACAGTATGTTGTATTATTTTACTGCTATTCATTTATTCTTTATTTCGCTTCAACGAATAAAATTCTCTGCACCGTTTATATGTTGTCACATTTATTTTACAGACAATCATTGGGGTATTAATTATTGGATGAATCACTAATAAAATGTTGATGACTCAATCTGTAATTTTTATTAGAACAAAATGAGAAAGATAATCAATTATAAGCAATAAAAGCAACTGATAACTTTCATGATTAATATGGAGGTTTTTTTAGTCGAAAATGACATCATCGAACCCAATCATTTGTAAAAAGTACAGAAGTAAACAATTATCTTTATCACTTATTAGTTGTTGTATAAATGGAAAGTGATAAGTGAAATGCTTTCATCGGTGCTATCTCTAAACAGGGCAATGGCATTGCCATTGGAGAAAGATTAAAATGGAATAGAAATGGATTTGTTGAAAAAAGTTGTAAACGTAAGAAATAAAAAAACTACCAATGTTGAAAAAATTCCATACTATATATGCTAAAAGTAAGTAATACTGTCTTAATACAACTAAAGCTAAAATGAAACTTATTATCCAAATAATAAGAACATAACCTTATTTACTCCATACCAACGCAACAACTCCAGATAAAACACAAAACACATAAAATGAATAACTAATATAGATGATTGAAATGAAACATCCAACAATTCAGGATTTATTTATAGTTGCAAATTAATTGATGAAGTCATAAATGATGAAATTCTACAACAAATTCTTATTGACATATTGAATAACTCGTAACGACACTTACTATCACAATTAAAGTCAGTAATGAATATAAATCAGTATTGATTTGTCTGATATCATAATAATAGCTAATGCGTTAATACAAATGCACTATTGATTTATGTGATATCATAAAAATAGCTTATGACTTAATACAAATGCAGTATTGATTTGTCTAATATCATGATAATAGCCGGTACATTAATAGAATAATAAATGCTACTAATTGTGCAATACATTATGCAATACATTGAACTGCAATAAAGCTCAGGAATTTTGCTGAATTCTATTCGTTCAATAATTGCTAACACCGATGTTAATCAAACTTCTCGATGATGTTCAGTAGGGTGAAAATTTTCTGACTGGCAGTATTTTCAATCACCACCGATCTCTTTCAGCATTTAGTGTCAAGCGATAATGCAGATGCTTTTTGCAGTACGGTCTAAAAAATATTAGTTTTCATAAAGTTTATTTTTTGTTGTAAGTTTAATTCCGGCAAATTTAAATCGTTTTACTCTTTGCATCGCAAGATTCTCGGCCTTTTTTTCTTGTTGTAGTTTTAATGAGAATGTGTGCAATGACAATTATCAATTCTAATTTCTCATTTGATGAAAAATTCTTTCAAGGTGAAGAATCAACAATATATTTTTCCTCTTATTAATCAATGATATATATATTACAAGATTTTTCCCTCCCGCTAATATCACTTCAATTTTGAAAGTATGAAAAAACTGAATGAAATGAAATGAAATTCTGGAAACAATGTAGCCAGTATTTCGCATAAATTATTTGTCACAATTCAATACAATAGTTGAAATAAAATTCTTCGATATGATAGATTAAACATCAATTGTCATCCTCACCTTTATAAGGATTTGTAGGTGTGATCGTTTGACAGTTTCTAATAAAAGCTATTTGGCGATCGTTTTCCTTCCACAAATTCCACTCAGCAAACACTATTTCATTCATTTAAACGAAAAATATCACCTTTTTAAAAATTTCGCGTTATGTGAAAGATTTTAAGACCTCACAATAAAAACTATAAAAAAGCAGCCTTTTCTGAAATCAGAATTACCTTTTCATGAAGTTTATCCCTGGAACACCAGCGGACAATTCTCTACGGGAATAAGCTATTATGCTTATTATTTGAATGCATAATGTCTTTATTGAATTAGCAATGAATGCGTGCGCTGCATTTTCGACGTTAATATTTTTTGAAATGCATTGTTTTTAAGGAGTTTCTTTTTTAAAGTAATTAGTTAAAGAACGAGCGATGTGATTCCCTATAAGCAACCATTTCATAATGTTTCGGTAAATTTGAACGTTTTTCAGAATCGGCAAGAAATCATATCAATCAATATGCATTTCATCCATTTCATCTTCCTCGCCTTTTTATCCCAATTAAACATTCAAACTTCAGTGAGTTCATTAAAGATTTAAAAATAAAATACTACAATATTTCAAAGATATGAAATATTCAAAGTTAAATGAAATGGATAATTTCATATAATTTCAGGAAGCACAAACGGTACAAACAGAGCCGTTGGATTTATCAGTGCGGAAAGTGAGTGAGGAACGAATACAATTAGGGAATTTATCAATTAATGAGACGAACAAAGGACAGACAAATGGTTTCCCTCAATCGTCGCATTTGAATGCTCATGAAAGGACGCATACCGGCAAAAAGCCACACAGTTGCACGACATGTGGAAAAAGCTTCAACAAATTATGGGATTTAAGCAGACACAACAGAGTTCACAGCGGTGAAAAGCCGTACAGTTGTATGATGTGCAATCAAAGTTTCTCTCAATCGTCGGATTTGGACAGACATAATAAAACTCATACTGGTGAAAAGCCACACAGTTGTACAATATGTGGGAAAATTTTCGCTAGATCATCGGATTTGAGCATACATAATAGAACCCATACCGGTGAAAAGCCATACAGTTGCACGATATGCAATCATAGCTTCTCTCAAGCATCGAATTTGAATGTCCATAGGCGGAGGCATACAGGTGAAAAGTCGTACAGTTGCACGATATGCAATCAAAGTTTCTCTCAATTATCGTCTTTGAATGTACATAAGAGGATGCATACCGGCATAAAGCTACACCGTTGTACGATATGCGGGAAAACTTTCAATAAATTATGGGATTTGAGCAGACACAACAGAACTCACAGCGGTAAAAAGCCGTACAGGTGTACGATGTGCAATCAAAGTTTCTCTCAATTATCGGATTTGGGCAGACATAACAAAACTCATACCGGTGAAAAGCCGTACAGTTGTACGGTATGCAGTAGAAGTTTCTCTCAACCATCGAATTTGAATGTACATTGGCGGACGCATACCGGTGAAAAGCCACACAGTTGTACAATATGTGGGAAAAGTTTCGCTAGATCATCGGATTTGAGGATACATAATAGAACCCATACCGGTGAAAAGCCATATAGTTGCACGATATGCAATCAAAGCTTTTCTCAATCATCGTCTTTGAATGTACACAGGAAGACGCATACCGCTGAAAAACCTTACAGCTGTACGATATGCAATCGAAGCTTCTCTCAATCATCGAATTTGAATGTACATTGGCGGACGCATACCGGTGAAAAGCCACACAGTTGTACAATATGTGGGAAAAGTTTCACTAGATCATCGGATTTGAGCATACATAATAGAACCCATACCGGTGAAAAACCATATAGTTGCACGATATGCAATCATAGCTTCTCTCAAGCATCGAATTTGAATATACACAGGAGGATTCATACCGGTGTTGTGCGATATGCGGGAAACCTTTCGATCGAAGCGATAATTTGAAAGAGCACATGAAAACTCATAGCAATAGAAGCTTTTTAATTGAATTGTATGCGACCAAAGTTTCCGAAAGCAATTCATTTCGAAGTCAGACACGAAGGATTATATTGAAATACTCGCCGCTATTTTCGGCATTGCAAATAACTTCATTAATTGATTTCTTGCAATTTAATTATTCATTTATAATTTTTAGCTCTTTTTTTCATTTCTTGCTGTTATTGTTATTTTACCTGTATATTATTCATTTTTACCTGAAAGTAAATTATATTATTTTTCTACTGTTTATTTACTTTTTCTCTTTGTTTCATTTCAACGAATGAAATTCTCTGTATCGTTTATCTGCTCGCACGCTTATTGAACAGACAATCACTGTAGTATTAATTATTGGATGAATCACTTGTAAAAATGTTTATGAATATTAGCAGCAAATGATTTTAATCAATCATTTATTATAACTATCAGAAGGAATCGACATCACATAACCACAGGTTAGTTAACGGAAGCCGAAATGAAATAACATTCCATGTTGAATTATTCCAATTGTGCATTCGCTAATTTCAAAAAGAACTTCTACTAAACTTCTCAGGTTTTTTGAATGCTGCAATTTCAATTCCTTACTTTTTACTTTCTAGGCAGCTTATGTAAAATCCTACAAATTTCTATGACCATTTTTGCAATAATTTCTACACTGCAAGAAAGTTACGTTATAAATACTGGCAGTTCTTCTGAATTATTCTGATATAGCAATTCTGAAATTTCTTGATCAATAATTTCAAACAAATTGGAAATGTGAAATTTCGCTTTGCTTTACTATTTAATAGACAACACTTCCATTATGCGTTATCATATCTGGTGAACAGTTGATGGATTTGTTGATTTTAGAGAAAGAGTACATCCAATGAAAGATATCCGGAATAACCGGAAATTTTTATCATATGGAAATAGTTGGAAAGAGTGCCTATAATGCTCCGTGCATTACAGGAAAATATGTGTGAAACTGTGCAAGTAATTCATTTTTCTTTTTTCCTTTTTTGTGATTAAGTGATTGCGATGGAAATGGAAAGTTGTCCCAGTAAGATTCTCAGAATGTGACCTTTCCAGTTTGAAGTTGTCAGTAAACCCGCTTAGAGGAGGCGGAGAGGAGGTTAGCGAGGTTCGACAGACGAAATGCCCGAGAAGAAGTGGACAAGGAACCGGCATCTCAGGAGCCGGAATATAATGAAGAAGAGGCAACATGGTCCCTCTGTTTGAATATGAAATCGAGAGTTGGCCATATGAAGTAGAGTGGGCTGTATTATCAGACGACGACGAAGAGTCTGGTGGTAGCAATGGAAACGAGTGGCAGTAGAAGATCGGAAGTATCATTCTGCGAAATTATCCTCTAAGTTTTAATTTTTGAAACAACTTAACCTATTACTTGAAGTTAACTTACAACAGATCTAAGCCTATTTCAAAAGATCGAGAACAATTACGATTCCGATTCTTGTCACGCAGACAGCGTTTGCTACGGCAACATCGAAAATTTTCATCTTGGAGATTTGGGTGATTTCCCCGAACAATTCCGAAAGGAGTTCCAAGTACTGCAGGCGGAAGCATACACAGTTGTCCGAGCGGAAAGAAACAACAATATCAAGAATTTATAATTTTAATAACGTTAGAAGTGAGCATATCTTTCCAGCGTGGTGGAAAAACATAACGGGCCTTAATTTCTATTCGATTAAATGACTGTTAGCATCCGATACTTACCGGAATTCTCGATAGCATTCAGTAGGTGAAAACTTACTAGCTGGCAGCACTGCCAATCGCTACCGATCTTCCTTCGGTGTATTTGGTGTCAAACGATACTGGACAAGCTCCTCGTCGTATTGATACAATTTATTTTCTATTGTATGTTGGATTCCGGCAAAATTTGAATCATTTTTTTATGTTGCAAAACTTCTGAACGGAGCCTTTTTTCTTATTGAAATTTAGGAGTGCGCGTAATGGCATATTATTAGTTCTAATTCCTATTTGATGAAAAGTTCTTTTCAAGGTAAAGAATCAATAATATACTATTCCATATATTAATCAATAATATATATTACAAGATTTTCCGCTCCCGCTAATATTTTTTCAATTTTAAAGGCATCGAAAAACTGAAATGAAATGAAATGAAATTCTGGAAACAATGTAGCCAGTGCTTTGCATAAATCATTTGTCACAGTTCAATACAATAGTTGAAATGAAATTGTTCAGTACGATAAATTAAACACCAATTGCTGACATTTTATTGTTGAAAATGGATTATCAATACATGTCAATTGTCATTAATGCACTTACAGGTACGATCTTTTGACAGTTTCTAATTCATCGAATTTGATAAGACATGAAATGATTCATATCAGTGAGCAGCCGTACAGCTGTTCGATATGCAATCAAAGTTTCTCTGTTCCATTCAATATGAGACAACATGAGAGCACTCATACCAGTGAAAAGCCTTACAGTTGCCCGATATGCAATCAAAGTTTCTCTCGTTCAACGAATTTGAAGAAGCTATGAAGACTTGTACCGGTAAAAAGCTGTAAAATTGTCCGAAATGTGAAAAACGTTTCTGTCGAAGTTATAAATTTGAAAAGGCACATGCAAACTCATAGCAATACGTAGCTCTTTTTCAATTGGATTGTATGTAACCAAAGTTTCCTAAAGCATTTTGAAATCACAAATGAAGAATTAAACAGAAATACTCGCTGCTATTTCCGGTATTTCGCTAATTAAATTTAATTTTTCTTTTAAAATTTCATTCGCAATTTAATTATTCATTCACAGTTATTAGTTCTTTCTTTATCATTCCTCGCTGTTATTATTCCTTACCTGTATATTATTCACTTTATATCTGACATGTAAATTAGTATCGTTTTACTGATACTAATTTACTTTTTTTCTTTATTTCATTTCATTGAATAAAATTCTCCGTATCGTTTATCCTCTTGCACACTACTGCACAGATAACCACTGCAGAATAAATTATTACCTATTATAAAATTTTATTCGTTGAAATGAAATAAAGAGAAAAAGTAAATAAATAGCAGTAAAATAATATAATTTATTGTCTGGTATAAAATGAATAATATACAGATAAGGAATAACAATAACAGCAAGAAATCAGTACCGAAAATAGCATTGAATATTTGAAATCCTTTTTTTAAATTTAAAAGGGATTGCTTCAGGAAATTTGGCTGCACAAAATTCAATTGAAAAGGAGCTTCTTAATGTTATGTGTTTGCAAGTGCCTTTTCAAACTATCGCTTCGGTCGAAAGATTTCCCGCATATCGGACAACTGTGCAGCTTTTCACCGCTATGAATTTTGTTATGTCTGCTCAAATCGGATGATTTAGCAAAATTTTTCCTGCATATCGTACAACTGTACGGCTTTTCACCGGTATGAGTTCTGTTATGTTTCCTCAGATCCGACGAGTGAGAGAAACTTTTCCCGCATATTGTACAACTGTGTGGCTTTTCACCAGTATGAATCCTCTCATGTCTTATCAAATACGATGAGTCAGAGAAATGCCGATTGCATATCATACAACTGTACGGCTTTTCACCGGTGTGAGTTCTGTTATGTCTGCTTAGATTCCATGACTCAGAGAAATTTTTCCCGCATGTCGTACAACTGTGTGGCTTTCCACCAGTATGAGACTTCTTATGAGCACTCGAATGCGATGATTGAGGGGAATTTTCCACCCGTCCTTTATTCCTTTCATTAGTTGATAAATCCTGTAATTGTATTCGTTCCTCACTCACTTTCCGCACCGATAAATCCAACGGCTCTGTTTGTACCGTTTGTGCTTCCTAAAGTTATATGATATTATTCATCTCATTTAACTTTGATTAATTATATCATTGAAATATTAAAGTGTTTTATTTTTCAAGTCATTAATGAACTCACTGAAATTTTGATGCTTAATTGGAAGAAAAAGGCGAGAAAGATGAAATGGATGAAATGCATATTGATTGATATGATTTCTTGGCGATTCTGAAAAACATTCAGATTTTCCGACACATTATGGAATAGTTGCTTATAAGAAATCACATCGCTCACTTTTTGACAAATTACTTTAAAAAAGAAATTTCTTAAAAACAATACATTTCGAAATATATTAGCGCCTAAAATGCAACGGTCACGCATTCATTGCTGATACAATAAATGCATTGTTCATTCGAATAATAAGCTAAACAACTTATTCCCGCTAGAAATCGTCGGCAGGTGTTCAAAGGGTAAACTTCATTGAAAGATAGGTAATTCTGATTTCAAAAGAGGTTGATTATTTATAGTTTTATTGTGATGCCTTAAAATCTTCCACATAATGCAAAATTTTGGAAAGAGGCTGATATCTTTGTTGAAATAAATGAAATAGCATTTGCTGAATGAAATTTGTGGAAGGACAACGATCACCAAATAGCTTTTATTAGAAACTGCCAAAGGATCATTTCTGTAAATGATTGTAAAAGTGGGAATGACGAACAACGTTTATTAATAATCCACGTTTAACAATAAAATGACAGCAATTGATGTTTAATCTATCATACTTAATAATTTTATTTCAACAGATGTATTGAACTAATGAATTGGAGGTAAAGAATATTCTCTGCAAGCAAATTTCAAATGACATTGCTTCAATTCCTGAAAAATAAAAGGACTCATCGGAGGAAATTGAAATGGTAAGAATTGTTATAACTATTATGACAGCAATGGTTACGACTATATGATAAAAACTGAATTCAAATAAAATGAAGAAACATTCGATGATAAAATACGGAAACAAATGAACAGTTGAAGTCATTTCTTGTTTACTTGTAAATTGAATCGTAAAATTTATGTTCACAAAATATTTTTTGAGTTTAAAAGTTATGATTATCCTAGATTGGTTATATTTAATGATTGTAAATGATTGTAATTCGATTCCAAATTACTAACTACTTATTGGCTAAATCCTATCAGTTTCAATTTATCAATGAGTTTGAAGTAATCAATCATCATTTTGTTCCCAGACTTTGTAAATAAACAGCTTTCATTGTTTGAAATTGAATTCGAGTAAAATAAAAGAGATGAAAAGATGCAAAGAATGAATGTGCGAGCATAATTATTAATTAATATTACAATAATTAATACTATAATTAATACTAAAAAAATGATTGTCTGTTCAATGAGTGTGCAAGCGGATAAACTACACGAAGAATTTTAATCAATGAAATGTAAGTAAAGAGTAAAGAGAAAAAACAAATGAGTACCAGTGAAACAATACTAATTTACATGTCACATATAAAATGATTAATATACAGGTAAGGACTAACAATAACAGCAAGGAATGAAAAAAAAGAACTAATTGTGAATGAATAATTAAATTTGCTAGAATTCAATTAACGAAATACCGAAATAATTTGCAATACCAGTAATAGCATCGACTATTTCAGTTTAATTATTCATTTAGGATTTCAAAATGCTTTAGAAAACTTTAGTTGCATAAAATTCAATTTAAAAGAAGCTACTTATTACTATGACATTGCATGTGCTCTTCAAATTTATCACTTCGATAGAAATGTTTCTCGCATATCGGACAATTGTACAGCTTTTTACCGGTACAAGATTTCATATGTTTCTTCAAATACGGTGACTGAGAAAAATTTTGATTACATATCGGACAACTGTAAGGCTTTTTACTGGCATGAGTCCTCTCATGTTGTCTCATATTTGATGGATCAGAGAAATTCTTATTGCATATCGAACAGTTGTACGGCTTTTCACCGTTGTGAATCTTCTCATGTCTTATCAAATGCGATGAGCGAGAGAAACTTTGATTGCATATCGTACAGCTGTAAAGCTTTTTACCAGTATGAAACCTGTCATGGTTTATCAAATGGGATGAACGAGAGAAATTTTGATTGCATATCATACAACTGTACGGCTTCTTATCAGTATGAATCCTCTCATGACTCATCAAATGTGATGAGTCAGAGAAACTCTGATTGCATATCATACAACTGTACGGCTTTTCACCGCTATGAATCCTCTCATGTCGTATCAAATTCGATGATTGAGAGAAACTTCGATTGCATATCGTGCAACTGTATGGTTTTTCACCGGTATGAATTCTCACATGATATTGCAAATGCGATGATTGGGCGAAATTTTGATTGCATATCGTACAACTGTACGGCTTTTCACCGGTATGAGTTCTGTTGTGTATGCTCAAAGCCGATGATCTAATGAAATTTTTCCCGCAATTCGTACAATGGTTCGGCTTTTTACCGGTATGCGCCTTCTTATGAGCACTCAAATGCGATGATTGAGGGAAATTTTCCGTTTGTCCTTTATTCGTTTCATTAATTGACAAATTCTGCAATTGTATTCCTTCCTCACTCACTTTCCGCACTGATAAATCCAACGGCTCTGTTTGTACCGTTTGTGCTTCCTGAAATTATATGAAATTATTCACCTCATTTAACGTTGAATATTTGATATCTTTGAAGTATTGAAATACTTTATTTTTTTAAATCATTAATAAACTGACTGAAGTTTGAATGTTTAATTGGCAGGACAAGGAAAGGAGGATGAAATGGACGAAATGCATATTGATTGATATCATTTCTTGCCGATTCTGAAAAATATTCAAATTTACTGATACACTATGGAATACATTTTCACGCATTCATTGCTAATACAATAAAAAATTTATTCATTCAAATAATAAGAAAAACAACTTCTTCCCAGAGGGAATCGATCACAGGGATTCTAAAGCAAATTTTATGGTGAGATAATTCTGATTTCAAAAAAGGCTACTTATTTATAGTTTTATTGTGATGTCTTAAAACCTCCCACATAACACGAAATTTAGGACAGAGACTGACATCTTTGTTGAAATAAATGAAATAGTGTTTACTGAATGAAAGTTTTGGAAGGACAGAGATCGCCAAAAAGCTTTTATTTGGAAACTGTCAAAAGACCGTATTTATAATTGCTTGCAAGGTGAAAATGATAAACGCATATTAATAATTTATGTTTAACAATTTAAAGTAACTGTAATCGATGTTTAATCTATCATGTGAATAATATCATTTCAACTATTTTATTGAACTGTGACAAATGATTTATGCAAAGCACTGGTAACATTATTTCCAGAATTTCATTTCAGTTTTTCCATGCCTTCATAATTGAGATAATATCAGAGGGAGGGGAAAATCTTGCAAAATATATCATTGATTAATATGTGGAAAAATACATTATTGATTCTCATCCTGAAAAGAGTTTTTCATCAAATGGTAAATTAGAACTGATAATATGTCATTACACAAATTCTTACTTATATTTCAATAGGGAAAAAAAAAGTTTCAATCAGATGTTTTAAAACATAGAGTCAAAATGATCAAATTTTGCAAGAATGCAAGATGCAATAGAAAATAAATTTTATCAATACGCCAAGAAGTTTTTCCAGTATCGCTTGACACCAAATACCGAAGGAGATCGGTAGTGATTGGCAATGCTGCCAGCTGGAAAATTTTCACCCTACTGAATACCATCGGTAACTCCGATAAACATCGGATGTTAACAGCCATTGGAACGAATCGAATTTATTAAATACCTCAGCTTTATTACGGTACTACATGTCATGTGCTGCACAATTTGTAGTATTTCGGTTTCCTGAAGGCGTTTTATTATTCCATTATGAATGAATAATATACAGAATGCAGAATGATAATAATACAGAATGATAATAATGAATAGTTGTTGTAACAGATAGTATAATAAATAAGGCTCAAATGATAGCAAAACCTTTGATAAAACCATAAAATAATCAAAACAAGTATTATCGAACTGGAAAATAATATAAACTCTGGAAATAATAACAATGATTTAATTTTGAAATAACAAAATAAGCTAATAAGCTAATTGACAAATGGAAGTTAATTGGTAAATTTATGATAATAGCATAGGCAAATAATAAAAAGGATACTGAATGATAAAAGAAAGAAGTTGATGAAGCTTGTAACGATGGAGATAACAACAAAATTCAATGATCACCTATTCACATTACGATTAATATAAGCGATTGAGAAGATTTACCTTCCAAAATTATAATAATGAAATCAGACTTTCACTGAATCGATTACTCTTCAATCATCGGATTATCTGAATCTTCTGGATTGAGATTTGATTAGTTTGATCAATAGTTGTTTATTTACCTTCCAGACATGAATTGCTCGATTTCATTCACAGTTCGCGATACATTGCTCATGCGTTCATTTTCATGCGACCAGATTATTACATCATCTTCAATTCGTACCTTAATTAAAATAATCAATGAATAATCTCGTATTTTTTAACTAGTAGTTAGTTACAATTTTAATAATTTTGATTTTGTGTAATGACATATTATCGGCTCTAATTTCCCATTTGATGAAAAGTTGTTTTCAAGGTAAAGAATCAGTAGTATATATTTCCATACATTAATCAATGATATATTTTACAAGATTTTTCCCTCACGCTAATATTATTTCAATTTTGAAGGTATGGAAAACTGAGATGAAATTCAGGAAACAATTTAGTCAGTGTTTTGCATAAATCATTTCTCACAGTTCAATACAATAGTTAAAATGAAATTATTCATATGATAAATCAAACATCAATTGTTGGTATTTTAATGTTAAATATGGATTATTAATACACGTCAATTGTCATTTTCACCTTTATAAACATTTGCACGATCCTTTGACAGTTTCTAATAAAAGCTGTTTGGCGATCGCTATCCTTCCACGAATTTCATTCAGTAAACGCTATTCCATTTATTTTAACAAAAATGTCAGCCTTTTCCCAAAATTTCGCGTTAAAACAATGCCTTTATTGCACTAGCAATTAATGTGTGACCGTTGCTTTTCCGACGCCAATATATTTTGAAAGCATTGTTTGGAAAAAATTTCTTTAAACCAATTTGTCAAAGAGCGAGCGGAATGATTTCTTATAAGCAACCATTCCATAATGTATTGGTGAATTTGAATATTTTTCAGAATCGGCGAGAAATCATATCAATCAATATGCATCTCATCCATTTCGTCCTCCTTGCCTTTTCCGTCCAATTGAACATCCAAACTTCAGTGAGTTCATTAAATATTTTAATATTTCAAAGATATAAAAATTAAATGAGATGGATAATTTCAGGAAGCACAAACGGTACAAACAGAGCCGTTGGATTTATCGGTACGGAAATTGGGTGAGGAACAATTACAATTACAAAATTTATCAATTAATGAAACGAACAAAGGACAGACGGAAAGTATCCTTCAATCATCGCATTTGAGTGCTCATAAGAAAACGCGTGCTGGTGAAAAGGTCTCGGGAAAGGAGTTCCGTTGCACGATATGCGGGAAAAGTTTCTTCTATTCATCGCATTTGGCAAGACATGAGAGGATTCATACCGGTGAAAAGCCATACAGTTGTACGATATGCGGGAGAAGTTTCGCTTGCTCATGGAATTTGATAATACATGAGAGGACTCACACCGGTTTGAAGCCGTACAGCTGTTCGACATGCAATAAGAATTTCTCTGATCCATCGAATATGAAAAAACATGTGAGAACTCATGCCGGTGAAAAGCCATCCCGTTGTACGATATGCGGGAAACCTTTCGATCGAAGCGATAGTTTGAAAAGGCACATGAAAACTCATAAATATGCAGCTTTTTAATTGAATTACATGCGACCGAAGTTTCCTAATGCAATTCCTTTTGAAAAACACGAAGAAAGTTCATGCTGAAAAAAGAAGTAGCTAGCGAATTTGAATTTTAAACTATCCAGTACTTCAAATTATTTCTGTATTTCTTTAATTGAAATCTTGGATTTTAATTATCCATTCATTAATTTTTAGTTCTTTCATTTCATATCTTGCTATTATTGTTATTCCTTACCTGTATATTATTCATTTTGCACCTGACAGTAAATTATATTATTTTTCTACTATTCACTTACTTTTTCTCTTTATTTCATTTCAACGAATAAAGTTCTCTGTGTCGTTTATATGTTTGCTTGTTTATTGGACAGACAATCATTGTGATACTATTAATTGGATGAACCAATCTCTGATTTTTACAATGAACTGTGCAAGTGTTCTTAATTACCGCCACCAGAAATTGCTTTATAAAATATTTTGTAGACACGGGCTTAACCCTTCCATTTACAAGTAAAGAAGATCTAGTGAATTGGAGGTGAGGAAATTCTCTGCTGGCAAATTTCAGATGACATTGTTTCAATTCTTGAATAATAAAAGAATACTTCAGAGGAAACTCGAATAATGAAATGGTAACTATTGTAAGGTTCAACAAATAATTAATACTACAGTGATTGTCTGTCCAATAAAGCTAGATCAAAATTTAGTCTTAGCCTCCAATTTAAATTTCATTCAAAATGTACCTAACTTATTTTTCGCTGATATGCAGAAGCAACAGGTCTATCACTGAAATATCTTTGATAAGCTTTACATGAATGATTTTAACTTCTTAGCCTAGCCATTCAAGAATGCTACAATTATCGAAATCATAATTAATAACATAGCATAAATGTTTCCAAAATAATTATGAATGAAATTTATTCAAAGTTGTTTTAGTAACACGTTAAAATGATGAAGTGATTAATTAATCTAAAACAATTGATCAATGCTTGAAAAAAAAACATTTTACGTGCATCAATTTCTGCTCTGATCACTAAAATTTAGCTGGCAGCAGTCAGCAATCATAATTTCTCCTAAAACTCTTACGGATTGACTGATCGTAAGATATTGGCATATGTTGCCAATATTTCTTGCATCTATTATTGCATGTTATCATTCTGTAATTCAAATATCAAAGCTTATTTTATGCCTTGCAAATTAGCAAATTATGCAAATTACCTGGAATTATAATTTAGAAAATGGAAATATGAAGCATACAATTCATTTTTCTTCTCGCTTGCTTCTCTACCAATTCATGGAAATGATAAAATGAATGAATTAAAATGAAGGAATAACTACTTCCATTCCTATGGTGTTATTTAAACTCTTAATGGTAGGTTGAACGCGTCTTCTGCTGGTTAACAGGTAAGATTGTGTACATGATTGCTTCCACTCTTCCTCACTTATAGCTGAAATATCTACTCGGGAGAAGAGAATACCGGTGGTAGAAAAATCGGAGCAAGAAACTTGAGAGAGATTAACCAAAAAATGAAATTATTCTCTTCGTTAGACTGTTAAATTTTGATCGCAAGAGTTTTCTGATATGCGTTATCCTATCAAAATTTCTACATCTCTTCATATAAATTAAATTTGGAGATCAGGAAAAATTCTGAACTCATTCAATTCAAATTGAATTGAATGATTTTGGAATTCATTCATCCATTCGGTGCATTCAAATTTTGAAAATTTAACGCATCTTTTATTCAGGAAATATTTCAAGTAAATATTTCATTATTTCACGGATATGTCACGAGCAGCAAAAGATAACGTGATGTTGTCCACAGATGAACAGGAAATTTGGGCAGCCATTGAATACTGGACAAAACAGCTGAAACAGGTTCGATTGCATGAAATGCTATGAAATTTAAATGAATTAAATATTCAGCAAGTTTTTTGTTAATTCTGTCCAGTTCATACAAATTCCTTCATTTCTCCTTCGTTTTTCCTGATGTTAAAAAATAAAAAGTACTCGAATTTCGGAAATCAGTAAAAAAAAAATCAGAATCAGAATCTCTGAAGTTATCCTATACAACATATGTTTTCCATTTCATTCCATGCAACATTCTGTGATCAGCCACGGAGCAACTAGTTGTACTTGAAATGAACTGAAATTATAACTAAGGATATATTTGTCAAGAGAAATATTTCAAAAAAAAAAAACTTGAAATCTCTTTTGGAAAGATTTTTTCAGGTTGAGAAATTACTATTCCCAGTCACTCTCAACATATTGTTTACGCTAATTGTTTGGATTGGTGTGTATCAAACGAAAACGGATTCGAATTCTGTCTTCTACTATATGCTCGATCCAAAACATAACCATACAACCGGAAATGAAATCGTTGATGGAATGGTTAGAGCATCAAACTTTTACATTTGATTTCTTCTATCGATCCCTCGTCCCTACTCTATTAAAACCTTTGTCAATCATAAGAAGATAGCATTTTACTATCATTCGATAAAGTCATTCATTATCTTTACCCGTTTACTAGTTATAATTAAAAGGAGAGAAAAGTCGTTTATTGGACAGTTTTAGTAAGCAAGCGGAGATTTGCGAACGATTGTAATCATAGCTGAGATATTCGGATTCTCTAGTCATCTTTTCAAATGTCTCTTTTGGTATCAATCTTGTTACTGAATGTTTGAACGTGCAAAAAACTTTCCGAAAACGTGACGCTGCTTCTGATGATAAAACTTCTTGTTGATCTGCGTTTGATTCGCAATAGTTAGAACTTCTCATTTTGCAATGATGAATTTTTGATTATTTTCAAATTTATGGTACTAACCTTAAAAATGCTAATATCAAATTTTTTAATAAGAAATTTCAAATCAAATTTGTTACAATGGTTTTTATTCTATTGAACTTTCATAGGTAAATGGAATCGGATGTGTGCTTATGCTAGCTGTGATAAGTTTTGCGTTACTCGCTATGGCACTATATGATTACAAGCGTTTGGTTCAGATGTGGTTGTACATGTCCTGTCTACTCATTATCTTCGGTGTCTTTACTTCATTCATAATGTATGCTTTCAACTTACTTACTGTAATAGTTGGAAGTCAAAGGTCGAACCTCATTTTTTGCATTTTTTTTAATCTCTTTTATTATGTTCAAATTCAATTCCAAACAATGAAAGCTGTTTAGAAGAATGTGTGATATCTTCGGCAGAACTCTCTAATTAATTGCGAAATCTTGAGACAAAATGATGATTAAATAAGATATTTCATAACCAGAACTTGAGAATCTTCGAACTCATTAGCTAATTGAATAGTTTATAAATCGGAATCCGAATTGAAAAGCAAAAGCAGAATATCAATCCGTTTATTTTAGGATAACCATAAACGCAAAGTAGAAAGGTTGAAATAAAAATCAATAATTTTAATTAATTGTATCAAAACCATGTACGGAGTGATTTCCTGTTACTGAGAAAGCATTTATATAATGAACTATACAATACGCTTTATTGTCACCATCAGAAATTGCTTTGTAAAATACTTTTTGGATACAAACTCTGTGCTTCAATTTACAAGCAAGTAAGAAATGACGGACTAATGAATCGGAGGTGAAGAGATTCTCTGCTGACGAATTTCAGATGACATTGTTTCAGTTCTGTCGACAAAGCTTTATTAATTCTAAAACAATAAAAGGATATTTCAGAGATTTATTCAAAGCATGTGGCTTCCAAAATGCTCCTCCAATACTCACAACAATCATTGTTGTTACGTATGGTACCGTCGGTATTCTCGTATTCTTCACCAAAAAAACCCCGCTTTACATGCATCAATTTTATGTCATTTCTAACTGTTCATTGGTTTCCGTATTTTATCTTCGAATGTTTCCTACACATACCGCTTGGTTTGTATTGGTATGCATTATTGTTTGGGGTAAGTTCTTTCATGAATATTCATTCATTTTCTTTAAGTAACATTTTTGTGAAACATCATGGCTACATGCAATGCATGTTGGGATTTTAGATATTTGTATATTTACATAGATGCGATGATTGCAGTAAGTTAGGATCTATTCCTATCTAATTTCCATCCGTCGATCAAAATGGCTGGAAAAAGGAAAAAATTGAAATCGTAAAGTAAAAGACCAATTGCATCATTTAGAAAATATAAACCTCTCTCAATATGATATCAATCTCTATTGTTTTACAAAAAGACTGAATTAATTTTTACTTTAAATCAGATGCATTTGCGGTGCTGGCACCTATCGGTCCATTACGACGTATTAATGAAAAAGCTCACGAATACAGCGATCAAGTAAGCTCGATAGTTGTCAATTACTCGGCGCAAATATAGCATTGAAAGCATAAAAAACTTATTTGCAAGGAATACATTTAACCTGCAATCTATGATGAATGAACTTTTCCCTACAGGTATTGCGATTTCTGATGTTTACAGCTGAGGACACAAATGATGAGCCATGTGAAGAAATCGTAAGTTTTAGGTCAATGAACTTTATTCGGTGATAGATAATCCTAATTTATTTATTAGTTGGGTTCCAATTGTTTTTCAAAACATTCAAGCGGAATAGACATCAATTACTTGAAGCATTAATAAAATAATTTATTCATTGCTTGGAATAAAATCGTTGTAAATTAATTTTAATAAGATTCTTCATTTTTGATTAAATTATAGCAATTATGATTTCGAAATGATTTCATAAATTTTTTCTTAGATCCTGAAATGATCCCATCATCACATGAAGATTTATCAAATAATCGATTCATATCTGAAAAACAGAATACCAAATATAATTTGCTAATTATTCACAGGCATTACACAAATGTATCAACGAATTGAAGCAGCAAAAAGCAAAAGAAAGCCATAATAAAAAGCCTTTTGTAACAAAGTTGAATTCGGTATTTTTCATTGGATTTCGTACATATCTTCTGAGATATCTCAAGTATTAAATGATTTTAACGTGAACTTTGTTTAAACTACAGGAAGCGACGCATAAATGTATTCGACGACGTAAAACAGCATGTTCAAAAAATGACATACCAGTTGAAATAGTTCAAAAAATTTGCGCGAAGTTTAAAATAACCAACGATCGAAGAAGTGATGAGACAAATTTTACAGTCTATGATGCTTTGAATGATGGCTGTAAGGAATGCCAGTTATTTAACTTTGACAAAAAATTCTTTTCCCATTTATTAGAGAGATTAGTAATTGTGAAATTAATTTTTAAATTGAAATAACGAAATGAAATGTAAAACTCTTTGTTGCTATAACTTTGAAATTTAATGATAGTTGAAAATAAGTGTTACTGTAGAGCGAAATTCAATGCTACTTTAATTTTTCTCTCAATCCGATTAATTCTCAAACCTATCACAAAATATCAAGACTATAAAATGATGAAGACTGAATGAGCTGTTTCTGTAGTATTATCTTATTGACCTTTGGCATTATCGTATTGATCATCCATTCATCAGAGTTGATAAGTCAGCAGTTATTGGGATTATTTTTCGTCATAATTTAACCGGATAACTTATGCTAGTTAGTTGTTATATATCAATTCAGCTAAGCTTCTTCTGTAACATGTAAAATTTTAGCATCAGTTCGTCTTGGCATGGGTGATTTCGTTTTCTACAGCTTGTTGGTAGGCAAAGCTGCCGCAACACATAGTGCAATGTGCGTTGCTGGTTCAATAGTTGGTATACTGGTCGGACTGGTAATTACTTTGACGATATTTTCCAGCGACGAAACCAGTCCAGCATTACCCGTTTCAATTACTATTGCGTTACTGTTGCATTTCGGAATCTATCTATTTGTTGAACCATTCTATAATCAAATTGTGATCACTCCAAAATTGTTCATTCTTTTGTAAAATATTTTCAACGTTAGCCTGCGTGGTGAAAACCGGAGTCGCAATTGTTCTCGATCTTCTGAAATAGGCTTAAATCTAATGTAATTTAATTTCAGTTAACAAGTAAAATTAAAAGTTTTAATGATAACTTTGTTACACATTTGTTGCAAAAATTAAAACTTACAGGACAATTTCGCAGACTGATACTTCCGATTGGTTCTCCATTGCTACTCGTCTTCATTGGTACCACTGATATCTCAGGCTCTTCATCGTCGTCTGATAGTGGAATCCATTTTGCTTCGTATAGCCAACTCTCGGCTTCATCGTTATGTTCAGGCAAAGGAGCTTACTCTTCCTCCTCTTTCTTCGTCTTATTCCGGCTCCTGAGATGCCGGTTCCTTGTCCATTTCCTTTTGGACATTTTGTCCTTTAAGCTCTGTTAACCTCCTCTCTAACACTTTCTTCAAGCGGGTTTGCAGGCAATTTGAAACTGGAAAGGTCACATTTTGAGAATCTTATTGGGACGCTTTCTGTTTTCCACCGTAATTAATTTATAACAAAAAAGGAACGAAGAAAATTAAATTACTTGCATGGTTTCATTCATATAATCCTGTAATGCACGAAGCATTATAAGCACTCTTTCCAACTATTCCCATATGATAAAAATTTCCGGTTATTCCGGATATCTTTCATTGGATGTACTCTTTCTCTAAAATTAACATATCCATCAACTATTCATCAAATATGATAATGCATAATGGAAGTGTTGTCTAATAATAGTAAAGCAAAGCGAAATTTTACATTTTCAATTCGCTTAAAATTAATGATAATATTATTTAATATATGTATATATATATATATATATATGTCACGCATCAAATACAATACATATTTTCTCTAATTTCATTGGCATCTAAAACAATAATTCAAAAATTCAACAAATCAAAGAAATGAAGAAAGTTAAAATAAGAGTTATATTCCAAAGAAATGATATCTCTTATACCCAATATGATATGCAAATATATTATCACCTGTTGTTCCAGCCTTTTGATGGCTACAGCGAATATAAATTAGTGTGAAGGTCATATCAAATGCTCTTCAATTTGATCTTATATTATATACATTGTGTTCAACACTTCTGCACAAAAAAATTTCTTTCTTTTAACTAACACAAATTTCCACTGATATTTTTTAATTAAAAGAATAATATATAATTAAAAAATATTAATTGCAATTTACCGCTTGTAGTATGTACCATTTTTGGACTATTAAATGAAATTTCCTTTAGAAATTATCGACAATGTTAAGTAACTTTTAAATTTTAATTTTAGGGACAGTACTTGTGCACATCATTTCTTATCCATCCCTTTTTTATGCTCACTGAAAATATTATGCTTATATTCCCATTACATAATTGACAGACGAATTTCTTTTCTGTAAATTTGTTATCAATATTTCATCAAATCTGTAATCTGTTCCTTTTATATTAAATAATTGATGACGAACGATCGGAATTTTATTACCTATTTCATATTTCTAAAGTTGTTAGTGAAATCCCTCTTAGTGTCGCTATTATTAGTCGCAATATCAATATTGAGTTGGTTAATGTTACTCTTTGTAAATGTTGGATAATTGATTATCAATGAGGAAAGAAATTCCTTAAAGACAGGTATTAACTAACCTTTATTATGATTTTAGAACTTCTAATAAGTGTGTTACAACAATATTGGAATTGATAAACAGAGTACCTAAAGATTGTGTTGATCAAAATGATATAATTATGGACCGTCTAATAACGTCTTATACTACAACAATGATGTGATAGTGATAACGATCATATTAATACATTGATGCACAGTGCGTAACGAAGGTTGTCAATGAACCGATATTAATTTATCTGTTTCATCATTAACTGGCTTCTTTGAAATTATTTCAAATTTGCTTAAGATTAAAAAAGAAGGTTAAGAAGTTTCGAATTTTCTGAAGTAAAAATTTTTGCGATAATTTTTGCTTAATTAGCAGTTTGAAATTTTCGACCAATAAAAACTAAGACAAATAGAAAGATTAAATTGAGGTGTGAGACATTTCAATTTATTCCTATAATCAAATATTAATGGCAAAAATTTATGAAAGCTTCTATCAAAGATGAAAGTCAATTCAATTCCATTCGTTACCCAAAATATAAATCATCTGTCGATTTCACAGGAGAATTGAAATTTATATAGTGAATTAGATATTAAATGAAAACTGGAATGCACAATTTTTCAGATAAACAACGACGCGTAGGTGTTCCCATGGATATTGAATATTCAACATCTCTATCAATTCATTACTTTAAAATGTTAGTAGTATAGCTTTCGATAATATCGCTTGCCATATGAAGTATTATTCTCACACTGAAATTCCACACTTCCATTGATTTGAATTCTATTTTAAAATTTATTTAACATTTTTTTATGATTGATTACCTGTCACATTTTTTACCCATATTCATTATTAACTTCTGAATTGTATTAATTAAGCGATTAATTTAGAGGTATAACAGAACTTAACTGATTGAAGAGTTCCACCAGAAATTTTTCATTGAACTGATCGAAGAGTTCTACTTGAAATTTTTCATCCGTCAGAAATACTCCGTAATTAGAAGTATAACAGAACTGAACTGATCGAAGAGTTCTACTTGAAATTTTTCATCCGTCAGAAGTATCCCGCAAACTACCTAACCTGTCCTTTATTCCAATTTTTCACTTTAATTTTAAAATGTATATTTCTCAACAAAAAATTAAAATTTTTTGTTTGTAAAAATTTTAGCATAAATTTATTATAAGATTTTTTGCTGCTAAAAAGTTGTCACAAATGATGAAAATATTTAAAAACATCAATTATCATTAACATTATCTTTATTAAACAATAAGAAAGTAACATTTTGCTATACTTAAATCCTTCATTTGCATTGTTTAGTTTGCTAACTTATGGAAAGTTAAATTGATGGGACAGGTAAATGTTCCAGCTGTAGAAAGTGTTGCTGATGGAACAGGTAAATGTTTCAGTTGTAGAAAGTGTTACTGATACTTTTTTTATAGCACAGAACTAAATCTATAAATAATTCATATTAAAATAAATCTGAATTTTAACTTCAATTCTTTATTATTTTTATCATTTCTTGCCAATACAGGTAAACAAATACGAAATTTTAATCCAGTTTATCATTATTTTTATCATTTCCAATATTAAACAGAAACCGAATAAGTTGTTGATGATCGGATCAATTAACAAAGAAGCTATGCTAATCAATATTGATCTAATCCAATTATCACTTATGAAGATTATTACTATCAGAAATTCTTACGGTAATGAGAAAAATAACATATAAGATAAAATGATTAAAAAAAATAATATATAAGATAAAATCATTTAATAAATAATTCAGATGAAATATATTTGATTTCTAATAATCCATTAAATTTTACTAAGTTTGCAATTGAAGTAAACTTTAAGCTTAAGCAGTTTATTCAAGTTTCTAATTGAAATTGATGATATAGGTTCTAAAATAAAAATAGTGTTCTTGAATGAAACATTTACTTGAATTCAAATTCGAAACCGTAAATTCTTCACGATTATCGGAAATGGATTTTGTAGTTTTCTTATTCTTTCGGTGGTAACTTTTCCAGTTGTTAATTAATTAATTCATTCATTGCTAGAAATCTATTTTTTTTCTTTCAAATTATTCAATGTAAATAACTATCTGTTAGCATGTTATGATATAATACCGATCGTGTTAATAGTTTGCAGAAAAATGTCGTCCAAATTCCGTCGTATATTTTATATTTTTCTTATTCCCGATTTTTTACATTATCCGACTTTAGGATGTTTAATTGAAAGTTTCAATCAATTGTTGAAATATTTCTTATAAGTCATTTCCACTTTACCTGTTTTATTATTCAACGTAACTTAATCACTTTTACTTCCAACTTCTAATCTAAATTTATAAATGTAAATGTCTGCTCGATGATTTTCCTTTTCCTCTTCGTCGGATTATTTGCCACATTCTATAAAACAAACGCTATATAATTAATCATACGAAATGGTAACGATAAGAATAGCACAAATTACGAGATAGGATAGCCGGATATGTGTCCTAATTATAATTATCGCTGTTACCTGAAGCCTTTCATTATAAATATCACAATGATTTTGTTGAATTTTAGCTGTCAATAATAATAATGTCCCAAAACTCAATTATTTTCTGATTTTCTGCTATTTAATTTCTTCTTCTGTCATTTATTTATTTATTTATTTATATTATTTATTGTTATCATTATTAGATATAGTTATTTTTATTATTGTTAATGTTATTATTAGTGTTATTAATTATTATTATTAATAAAAATAAGTTGTATCGTATTTTATTGTGCAAATATTTTTCTTAGTAGAAGAAATTTCCTAAAAACTAATTTCAGTAAATATTATTATTTGCCATATCCTACATTACGATCCTGAATTCATCACTTTTTATATTAATCAAAGCAGTCTTATTATTCCATTTAATTGATTGAATAATTAAATAATTGCAGCAAATGTCATATTGTCATGCCATGAATATGTCTCTGTCTGCAAAATATATCATATTATCATTTATCTGTTATATCGCTAATCTTCAATCATATCAATAACATTCCTATTTGTAGTGTAATCGATGACAATAATAGTGGTAATTAGGCAGTGATAAGAAATGGGAAAATTTTCTTATAACAGGCAGATAGAATGATAAAGGGATACTTTCATGATTAAATCATTATCACTCAATATAGTTGTATCGATCATCAATTCATCATTCGTTATGCCTGCCAAATATAACAATAATAATCATTATATTTCATTGTTAATGCTATGACTTTTACAAAGTATTATACTAACTTACAACTATAGCAGTCAAAAATAATGCGCAAAACTCTCTTCTCCTTCATTTCATTATTCATTATTTCAGTTTAATTCGTAATTACTGTAATAATAATTTAGCG